ATTTCCTAYCGGAAGCTGTAGGACCTCCTTCAGCTGGAGTTGGTATTTTGGGTATCATACCACACACATCACTGGAATAAAGTTATTTCTTGCTTACTATTCCCCCCACTACCACCTCCCTGAATCATGTGGCCAGAGGATGCTCAGCTACTGAATGAGCTTGGGTTTTATTGCATGAGAGGTAGTCAGTGCGAGGCCTCATCTGCTCTCTGGATCACTACAACAGTACGTTCAAAACCAACTTGCAAGTGCAAAGACAGATTAAGTGTTGCAGCTGCATAACATGGAAACTTACAACTGTTTTATTACTGCTCTTTCCTGGCTAAGTTTAATCTCAGAAGTAGCCAGAGAACACGATATACAAAAAAAAAAAAAAAAAAAAAAAAAAAAAAAAACAAAAAAAAAAAAAAAAAAAAAAAAGCAATTTTATGTATGTGCTAAAGCCTAGACAGAGAGAGGCACTTTCTCACATTCACCCTTTTCCAGGCTGAGATTCAGAGTGTGCTCTTAGTCAGCCACCCCCTTCTCCATAAATCAAAAAGATTAGACTCCTTTTTTTGACTGGCATACAATATTAACAACCCTCASCTCTGGGCTGGAACCACCCTGGGAAAAGTATACGGAAACAGGAGCAGGGATTGCAAATAAATATGCTTACAATTAAGCTTGCCAGAATGAGACATAATACGATGAATTGTATTTTTTTAATGTATTGTTCTTTATTCCAAATGTCATACCTAATTGAGTTTTGCAGAGACATGAAGTTAAATTGTTTTTAAAAACTACATGCTCCAGAATAAGGTTCCGAAATGAAGAGAGTCAAAGGAAAGTCACATATATTGCTTGGAGTAGCAAGCAGTGGAACCAACTGTATTTCACACGTTTTATCTTCCACAACACGGTGCACATGTTCAAAATTAAGCTTAAGGGCAACTAGTTGAGTATCTTAGCTGGACTGCACATTAGGCCTACAGCTGAAATAGATTTGGGCAGCTGGAAGCTCAGTGAGTTCAATGGAGTACCAACAGCAGCTCAGCCTCTTCAGAGGGACTCATTTGTTTAAGCATTAAGAATTAGAAATCAAGTGCTACAAAGCCTGGGATAACCAGGTAGACGGGTACATTGCTTTCTCAGGAATGTCACTGTTGAGCATTTTTATCTGAACTTAAGCATCTACATCTTTTAAACTCATGTAAATGAGAAGTGTTTGCAATGTTAAGGATAAATATGCACTGATCCCTGTGCAACGTCAGAGCCCAGGCAGATGGAGTAGAGGAAAAATCKGATGTGCGCTGCTGGCTAACTCTTGCAGTGAAATAAAAGCCTGTAGATTTGGAACACACAAATTCCATCCTTTCTGTATYGCTCCTCAGCTGTTGATTTTTACTAACCATAAGCAATAAAATCGCTGTTACAGGCATAATCAGCCCATATTTGGATTCAGAATTAATAAGATATAAAGWAAAATCATCATGAAGACTTCCTGAACTTGTGACTAGTCAAGTACAGATGAATGCATTTGTGGGAAATTGATTGAGAACAATTAACATTTTGTTTTTAATGGTAAATTACAGAATGTACTATGACGGACCAAACTTACGCTTTTAAAAATTGCAATACTTAAGAAGCTTATATAATTTTCACTAYAAATATCTGCAAATCAATTTTCTATTATTTATTTAGAAATTATGGTACTGGGTTTTTTTCCCAAGTATTCTATTCTTCCACATCTCACTAAAGAAGTCAACAGCAAACTTTTRAGTATAAAATTGGGAGTGCTGCATGTGAGGTTTAATACTAAAGTACTCAAAAAACATTTTGCATTCTGTAACATTTTGTAGCTGGGTACATAAATGCCTACCACAGTCTTTCCTTCCCTTAAGTTAATTTTTTCCATTGCTTTCCAACAACAGAAAAAGTTTTATCTGGGRCATGTAAGAACTCAGAGTTCATGTAAGAACTCTCATTACAGTCTGTTATTTCCTTTTAAAACAGACGCTATCTACTCACTGCTCAAAAGTATTACTGGCTCTGTATGTTATGCTACTAAAAGCAAATTTTTGCCTTTAAATTCACCTTAAAAACCACAAAGCAAGTTTCTGTTTGCCTTTTTAGCTGACATAATAGCATAATCACAGTGGAAAGACTCTGAGGATCTCATTTTACAAGTAAGCCACCTGAAGAGGTTTACAAGGAATCAACAGAAATGGTTTGCTCCGCTTTGTTTTTTTTTTTCAGAACAAGCACAGGGATACAGGCAATCAGCAAAGAATGCTCTTTTAGCTGTTCAGGTTGTGACATTTTGGCCCACTAAAGAATTGGCGCAGGGCAATCTACCACCTGAAAGGTTGTTGAAGGCAAAGAAGCTCAGTAAGGCAGTATAAAAATTACAACTAATCTAAACCTTACTCTTCTAATGGCATTCTCAGAATCTGAGCAAGGTAAAAATACTAACATTTACTGCATTTCATACATGTGCGCATGGGAGCGTGGTGCGCACACCAAAAAAAGGGTGATATTATTCCCAGTTTATATCAGCTTTGTGCAAAAGTGAGAGAAAATACAGAATTCTTTGCTGTTGAAATACTGAGAAATCATAAATCACCAGTTAATTATACAAAGAAAAGTAGATAAAGATCCAGAGAAGAGTCTTGCTACTGGTAACAACAAATAAAATATACATAATGTCCTAGTAGAGAACTACCATAATAACTTTCTTGATACCACAGTAGTTTAATTTTATGATGGCTTTTTATGTGCTAAATAAAAGTATCCACTTCAGACAATCTAGCAGTAACAGGTAAAGAACAGGTAGTTTGCTGTGCAATTCTGGGGAAGAAAAGTATTTCAGACATCAGATGCTAGCAGCTTGATTTCTTACTTATTTTACAGTAAATAACATACACACAAATCCATATACAAAGAAGAAACCCACTAGAAAAACCCACTGATTTTTCTTTTTGGCCCATGGGTGAAATTTTAGTGTCCACCCTGTGAAATGGACATTTAGCATATGGACACTACTCTTCATGTCTGCAGAATTCCAAACATAGTTTGCTTTTTAAAACTCAAATTTCATGTGATTAATTCTTAGTGTTGGAAAAGCATTTGAAAATAAGTAGTCCAGAAATGATTAAAAAGGAGCAAGAACAGTGTCTCTGCTAATTAGAGAGAAAGCTCACTAAGGTAGAAGTTGTAATTTTGCATTTATGCCTGCATACAAAAATACAMTCATCAGCACTTATTTTTCTGCTCAGTAAAGTCCTCTGTGAGACTCAGCGGAAAATAAAATTTATTGTGACTTGAATTTTTTATACTATATCTCAACTACTAAAGAATACCAGTAGCACTTAGTTCAAAAACTAAATAGACTGATTTTCTAACTTCAAACTGGAATGACAATTTTCAATGTTGACTTCAAGACAGGTGATAAAGTAATTTTAATATATTTATTGTGATCCAGTCTCAAAACATTTTCTAAAATAGTAAGCAAATACAAGGATAATAGAAGATCTCATCTGTAYTTCTTCCACACAGGTAAAGCAGCTATTCGGAATTTTCCTTTCCCTGGAAAATACTGAGGATTAACCTTGTATTCACTATTTAATGTTACTTTAATATKCTTTGTTCAGGTGAATGTGAAAAAGAAAGAGAGAGCATTCAGCACAGGACTACTAGACAAGAAATCTGAGTTTGCARTCCTGACTCGAGCACTGATTATTCTTGGTGGACATGACAAACAAACCCTTGGGACACAAGCACAGTCCTAAAAAGAGATGCAGTTTCAGAAAAAGAGCTTGCATGTGCTACACTGACTGGCACCAGGAGCAAGTACCTGGGTGATGAACAGTTCCGGTTGAATATTTGCCACTGTGGCTGCTGCTMTTGTGTGGCACATCATTTTGAATCTCACAGAAGGTACCCACTTCTGAGATTTTGAAGGAATTTCCTCACCTCTTCCCATTTTGCATGCCTAATGTTTTGGGCCAGCAGCCATTATCTACTAACATAAGATATCCTCTTTCATTAATGCAAACCACTAAAAGTAGCAATCAATATGAAAATACTAAAATGATTTTTAGGTTTCACAGGAGACATCTGAATCTTTGCTCCAGGAGCACCAGCTTCACCATACTTCATGAATTATTCATAGGTCAGAGAGAATACATTACACACTGCTGATTATATTTTCAGGCTATGGAACTCTCTTTGTCCTCGTTACCAAGACACCTTCAGCCAAATGCTGGACACAGGAATTTTTTTATTTATAAAAGGAGTAAAAATTTCCCTTCACCTTCAGCATTAATTCTGAGCAAATGTCTCGAATCTTCCCTTTTTTTCATGCTGTCATGGATCAGTGGAAAGAAAAATGGTATTAAGATAACCAGCCTGAAACAGATTCAGTAGCTCCTCTGACATTTTAATTCCTACAAGTTAGAAAACTTTCTGTTTTGTTACATCTCACACTGACGGAGCTTCTGTGACTAYCCTGCATTGTCATCTCTCCCTCACCTTTCTTTTCTGAGGTTTGACAAAAATTGCAAGGAAGGTTAAAAAAAAWTTAAAGATTATAAGTTTAAAATGTCACAAAATTTGACAGAGGAGGAGGTTCCTATATAAAACACAAGTACATCAACATCACGTCTTAAACTTGCAAGAAACTGTATAAAAAACTTTTTGTAAAGGTACTTGTCAGTTGAATGAAAGAAATACATAGTTTAYACCAAAGCAAATGAATAAAGGTGTTTTACATACCCTAGTTTAAGCAATAAATAATGCATTTGCTTTTGCAAGTAGACTCCTTACAATATATAACACAAAAATAAGATCAATTGCTGTAAATAAGTCATTTCTCTGACCTTACTCAGATCTGCAGCATTCTCCTGGGTGCCAGTCACTGTTCTAATGGAGCTTATGGASATACTCTCCCCAAGAATAATTAAACGTTTATTAGCACAGTTTAGATTCTTCTGTTAAAAACACAAACAAACAAACAAAAAAAAAAAAGCAAAACAACCAACCCCTTTCTTCATGAAAATACTGACTGGCRTCAGAATTATCATAAAAGTAATGGTAAAGTAGAAAATTATACTTTTTATACTAAATATACTTCGAATTTATCAATATGTGCACTGAAGGGTAAATCCAAGTTTTACACGGTTTTGATGACTGTTAATTAATGACAGACAGAAAGAAAAAACAAGGCAGTATTTCTCAGCCCCAGCAGCTGCCAAGGTAAGTGGTTATGACATAGCAAATTTTCTTAGCTCTCTAACGGGTCTGTGCATAACACGAGGTTACCAGTGAGGCCATTCCAGTGTTTCTGACTGGACTGACACTTTTGCCAATATTAGTTTTAGTCCCCCAGGCAGGCCAAATTCTCTAACTTAATCACTCCTATCATTTTAGCATATGAACACAAATACACTTTCAAGWGGATTTAATCTGAAAAACTCTCCTTTACTTGCATTGTGCAGTTCCAGTGTGATTAATGACATCTAAAAATGTYCATCCCTCAGATCACAACTGCAGCCAACATATGTTAAATAGCTACTGTTTATTGTTGCACCAGACAATATCTAAAATGCTGCAAAACAAGGAGACCACAAAAACCTTCCCTATATTAACAGATCTTTGCTAGTGAAAGCAAATTTTATAAAACAGATCATCAGTATATACAGCCTTCTTGGTCACTSTGCAATTGCAAATGAACCTCTCCTCCCCTCCAGGGTAGTTCTAAAAATTCAGATTTTTGAGGAAAAGCTCAATATAAGACTGCAATTGTGCTGGGCTCCACTGGTGAGAAAATGGTGTTCCATAAAGCACTGATAGTGTTCAGCAGGGAATTAAGGATAATATCTTTCAACACTGTGCCACATACACATCCTGCATTACAGCCTGGCATGTGCAGCTCACACAAACCCCACACAGACTATTCAGAGTCAAAAGTTCAAAATGAGAAAAAAGAAGGGTAACATTATTTCTATGATGAAAGGACTATTATAGTGGGAATCGCACTTTTAAAGCCAAATACAAAAAAAATTATTTCATGTAACTTACTTTGGTYTAAAATTAGAATGGGTGTCTAGATGACTTTTTAATCACAGTGATACTTCATGAAAATCAACTCATATTCAAATTGTCTTTTCCTGTGAGATAAAAATTTCGAATGTGCCAAAAAAATCTTSATAATACTGATCTAAAATAAGAATGAAGCTATTTAAGTCTTTGTAAGACATTGCATGTGATGAAAATAGCTACTATTACCCTATCATATCGAAAGTACCAGAACAAGGAAGATATTAAGGTACACATTAAAAATATTAAAAGAAAGTACAGCTCATTATTGTGAAACTAAAGCATAAGAATTTTGTATTTTTATACAGAAAYGTTTTGAGAAAACAGGAGAAAAGCGTATGTCTTTGAAGTGAAAGAACTTTTTAAATTGCTTAAAAAAGTTTAAATGTCAAATGATTTACACTAATTTTCATCACCTACCAAGCCTACAGCAATTAAATCTACTGAGTCRGATAGTATTTCTCATGCCTTCCAAAAGGAAATACTGCCTGGATGAATGGAGTGARTTGGGCTGAAAATAGTTTGAGTCCCCAGGCTTGAAGGGCACTCACTGATCACTGGTTTTTGCCCTGCTGGCAGCCAGCAGTGAGGACAGCCCTCCAGGGGTCAGTTCTGCAACCATGTCAATAACATCTCACCAGTGACCTGGACAAGGACACAAAACTGTATGATAACCACTCTCAGATGACAGCAAACCAGGAGGGTGAGATGGCATGCCAAATGGTAAAGCTTCAACCAGAAGGACACTGTTCAACTTGAGGACTGCGCCAGGAAACACTTCACAAAGTTCAACACAAGTGGAAAGGTCTGCTCCTGAAGCAGAAAAATCCCATGTGATGGGAAGGGATGTCTGAGCAGCAGCGCTGCCAAAAACCAGCAGGCATTTACAAAAGGTGTGAGGSTGCATTCTCTTTGCAACATGGGATACTCCATTCTGCACTACATGGGCAGGGCAGGGGAAAACCCGCTATGCCCTCTGACTCAGTGCTGTGAAAGCTCACAGGTTGATTAAAAATCATAATTTCGATATCCTCTTTAGAAAAAGCACAAAATATGCTACAATGGCTCCCAATGTTAGAGGAAAAATGCAATAACTGATTTTGTACAGAATATAGAGAATTCTGTACCACAAGAAACTGCTTTACGGCACATCTGTGTGAACTGTTTTCTTTCTGATATGGACCGCAAATATTTTGTGCTGCATAATTTTGTGCCTGCTCTACTTACTAATTAACTAATTAACATCCACTAGGCKTAGAAAGTGCCATCAATAAAAAGATTTAGCATAGCACAGATTTTCTAAATTTAAAAAACATTAGTGTTATTTTTTTTTCAAAGACTGCCAAATAAATAATGRTAAAAAACAATTCAGTGATAGCATTTTCAGTGTCCACCAAGTTTCAGTTTGCGTTGCAAACAATGGCATTCACAGAGCACTACCAGAACACTGTAAAACTGAAGACCTTTCTGTATTTAAATGAAAAATGTGAGGACATGCAGTTCTGTCCCTCTAAAGTACTTGCAGCCATACACACATAATGCTTCCTAATATCACGGTGAGCTGCACACCAAGACTGGAGCAAAAGATGGACAAATGTTTAATAGAGWTGGTTTTAAAGCAAATGTTATGGAATAATTAATTGCTATTTTACACACAATGCGCCAATTTGATTCCTAGTAGAAGGTCATTAAAGGAAGTAGGATGATGTTAACCAAATATTATTCAAGAAACCAGCTTTGATATATTTTCATTTTCTTATAATAACAATTGCAGACCTAAAACAAGAATAAAATGGACTTGGTTTAACTAGGAAAGCAAATGATAACATTCTCTGAATAACTTAACATTTTCTCTGGAAGAAATCCCATTAATCTACACAGGGATTTTTATACAAATCTAAAAAAAAAAATCATGACCAATCAATTCATAAAAAGTYCACTTAATATTTTCTGTAGGTTTTCAGAGTTGTTTCTGATAACAGAACTGCGTCAAGAAACTGGAACTGATTAGCAGACAGTTGCCCTGCGAGTAACTCTGCCATACAAYCAACGGGGACAACTAAAATAAATAACCAAAGGAATCTCAGTTGTGTAGGGAGCTGACTCKGAAAAAGAAAGAAGCAGGATGAGAGCTGGGCATGTGTGGTAATGCACTGAACTGTTCAAGCTCTGCTGGCAGATCACRTACCTATCTAGTAATTTTATTTTATGTCTCAGGACTGGAATCTGTCTTAAATAGAAAAATTGTAAGTGTTGTACGGGTAGAAAGGAATACAGAGTCAATGCATGAAATCTAACCTATCATCAGTGGCAGGATGCATGACACATGCATAATGGAAGACTAGGTCATACCACATGGAACGTACCTTTTATCTAATAAATTAYTGGTTTTTTCTTTCATTAAAATCTGCCCTCCTACTGTTTAATGTTTCTGAGATTTTCCAATAGAAAGTGCCAAGTCTTCTCCCACTTATATTAACTGAGGCTTAGCAACACATAAGACACTTTGTTTTTAATCAAAAAATATAGAATCACTTTATGAAAAAACGTAAAATATCATTTTACACAAAAGCTATTTTGGCAACACAAGKAGAAGTTGTTAGCTACAACACATGGGAGCCTCTGCCATACTCTCAAACATAAATTTAGATAAAAAGTGGATGGGGAAAAAACAGAGCCAGGAAAATGAAGTGTGTGTGGCAGAAAACAGTTTCATTTACAGTTCTATCCAGCTTCTTGAGAGCCAGAGACCTTCCCATGAAATCTTTATGTTCTTCTAACACTGTTGCAAAGCTTCAGGGATTTCTAATTGTATAAACAGWTATGGGAAAATGAGATTCACTGCGAGGTCTATGTCCAGCCAATACTAAAAGTGATGACTGCATCTCAGCATCAGTCACTTAGAATATGAACTTTCTGACTAGCAATTCATATGCATTTACCAAAATTCAAATTCAGCCAGCTAGCTTTTCAGTCTGATTATACAGTCAGCATCCCAAAGCTAAAGCATGTACAGTAGATCTCATACCTCTGAAATACAGTTAGATGTTTGGYTATCCTTTGATTTCAAATAATGCAGGCCTTCCAGTATTTATATTATGGTAAAATTCTAGAGCTTTAAAAATCTGCCCTCCAGAYAAGCCTAAGCATAGATACTTTAAAATTACTTACTGTACATCTTCATATTTTGTTAAGGCATGAACAATGGCATATGAACGGGAACAGCTTCTGGAAAAGCATATCTTTTTGACAAAGGCCAGTCCAAGCACATCACACCAAAGGACTAACCTGAAGCCAGAATTGACAGTGTTGTGACCCAAGAGTTTTTAACAAAAATAGTTGAAACAAAATGGATTTTTTTCTTTTTTTCTTCCCTTTTTTTTTTTTTTTTTTATTTAAATTGTCTTACTCTTAATGTCTGTTTAAAGCACCGGTTGCAGTTTTGCGCTTACCACCTCTTCCAAGTGACTTTGGATAACTCATCTGCTTCTTCATTTCTGGATTTTCAATGTACAAAGCTTTAAGAGTTTTCTTTTTCTTTTTTTTTTTTTTTTTTTGTTTTTTTTTGTTTTTTTGTTTTCATGGCTGCTGCAAAATTAGAAAGATCCGGAAGTGGTCAGGGGCCTGGTCTAATGCACTTTCAGAAGTCCATTATAAAGATGAATATAAATGCGTATGATATGGGTTTGTCCGTAGACCCACAAACYGTGTTTAGCTATAAGAAACATATTGTGCATAGTTATTTTTTTTTCTTCAGAGTGATATGTTTACTAGGTCTATATTCTCAGTTTACCAGAGTACAGGAATGTCTACTTTACTAAAGCCAGGATCCTTTCGCAGTTCCCAGTAGGTTTCATTGGTAACCCAAGCTTCTCTTTGATTAGCATCGATAACTTTTCTGCAGAAAGGGGGAAAAAAACAAAAAGAGAGAGAGATCAAGAGAGAAAACAAGCTTTGACCGTAGATACTGATCTTATGCGATAYACAATCAAATTCCACACCTCTCTGATCTAACCCACCATTAAATCAAGTTTTGTATTTCTAAAGGGCACAAGACTAGTCAGGGATTTAAAAGCAAAAATCAACCTCTACCTATATCCAAGTGGAAGACACAGAAAACAGCCAGGACTGAAAATCTGTTGTCTGATCTGTGTGAGCAGGTCTCAGAGCCACATAACACCCCCCTAGCCAGTACAGGTTTTGATTATGGGAAGGGGATTATCCAATTGATGCAGCTTGTAGAATGTAAGCCTCTAAAAATTTAAATTTTTGTCTCCTCTGTGTTTTGCTTACATAATGCTACAACTGCATCAAGCACATTCAGCCTTTTCACTTTTGACTCCCCATGCTAAACATCAGGCTACTTGGSATGACTATCCGTCATTCAGAAGAATSCTTAATTTAAAAACAACCARCAAAAAAMCACCTCCACTCAAAAATAAATACAKTTTTAGTGTATTTGTCTYGTCTATGCAATGACTTAAAAAAAGCCCCTAGTTAAATCTTAGATCCTAATTTTATACTTTTATTCCACTTCAGTAGGAAGGCMCATTATGAGAAAATGATCATTCAATTATGAAGCTTAACTGTGTAAAAATTGCTTTAGAGAAGCAGGTATCAGGTATCTAATCATCTTTCTTAAAACTGAAACTCTCCACTCTTTCACGATTAACAGACTCTGTTGATTGTAATTGCTGTAGAACTTCATCCAGTTATACTACAGAAAACAAAGATTCACYATTCAAATGAACAGACTCACTTAAAAAATTTGGGTACATATTCAATGCCGTTTTCTTCCATGTACCGCCTCCGAGCTCTCTGGAGTTCTTCTATTCTTTGTTTCTCAGAYGCTGCTGCTTCTACATTTCCTTCCTCCAGAAGCCTGTGGAAATAACAGCAGGCCCTGTAGCAATCATGCAGAGCCTAGTCCCAGGGATTTTCCAGCACCAAACATCACAAAACGTAGGCAGAAGCCAAGTGTTTTGTGTGTGTTGCACTTTCAGAGCCAGCCTGAGGTGCACCTTTCTGGCTCCATGGACCTGACCCACAGCCCAAGGCAGGAGCTCAGCTCAGTAACTCCAGCACAGCACAAACACTGAAGGACTATGAACTGAGAGCCTAGAATCCGCCCCAAAGTTGCACTGCAGCTCTACTGCATCCACAAGAAGCTTTCTGATTTCCCTCAGCTGGGTTAAGCAGAAATTTGAGTGCAACACACACGATCCTCTCTATTAGAATCCTTAGTTCAGAATCCACTGAAGACACAGACTCAGCCAAACTCAGCCTTGAACCCACAAAATATTAAGGGTATAAATAAGCATTCTTACCTTTGATCTGGCCTGAATCGTGCATCTGTTGCAGGAAGAAGATCTTTCAGTAAAGGATCTAATTCATTGAGCTCTATAGCAAACCTTGTGAAGCCATAATAACGCTCGTAATTGGTTGGCATGGAGCCTGAAAATGWATGAAACAGAAAGAAAAATCTTTTTCAGCTATTACTCTAAATATGCAAGAGACTCCTTAATTTATAAACCTTTAACAGAAAAACATTTAAATATTTTACTCTTACAATTAAAAACCATCAAAAGCTATTCTCTAGGTGCAACAAAATTCACTAAATATTAATTTCAACTGCTYATTACGCAGTGATTATAACTGCATGTTAAAAAATTCAAAACTTCCATGATCTTCCTTCTGTTTTAAATAAAAACTAATGTTTTCAAGATTTTCCAGTTTCCTGTTTCACAGACAGTGTGCTTATCAAATGTCTGTCTAAAACCTAACTTCAACTGGTATTTAAAGTTTATTGTGGAATTTAACACACCCTCACAGACTGATTCAGCACTGAGGATTTAGAACAGATATCACAGTGAGCAGGGTGCAAAGGAGGGCTCAAAATACCATAAATACAAAGCAGKATTYAAAATACTAAGTATAATAATTCCTGGATAATGCATGTATGAAAGACACAGGTGCACAGGATGACTAATTCAACATCAGTGCCTCTAAGCAAGCAGGATCTTGAAATCAGATCCTGAAAGTCTCAGGTGCTCACCATCTCTAAAGAGCAATCCTTTAGGCTAATAAAATATTAAGACAACTCAATAATCCCCTATTTGTTGAGCCCAAATTGTTAGGTTTTAGACAGACAAATTACCCTGCTCTCTGTAAGAAGGCAGACAGGCCAGCCTGGGTGCCCAATCTTTTCTTAATTTTATTCTTCTGTTGACCCCAAGCACATCTGACCAGGAGTCAGACYGAGATGTAAAAGATTATGCCCTGCAAGAACATTTCCATTCCCCATTATTATAAAGYCACGTAGATTCTTGTTTATTTGTCTAGCCAAGAATCTTAATTTCTCTAGYAGCATTTTGTGTATTTAAAATGAAGGCTCAAACAGCTTCACAGAGTTTAGGTTTACCTACAACACTTTCCAGAGTTTATTACAAGCTTCTTACCTGGCCTCCATATGCATTTGGCTGAAGGTGCAACCCCACAATAGAGRCCTTCGTGCCACTTTCCAAAGAGGCGATGAACCACCTTCCCTTCTTGATCTATCACAACACCCTGGACCTCATTCACATTGGAATTCCAGTAGTTCACCTGCAAGTTTAACCAGGAATTACTAGCTCACACTGCTTTGCCGACAGCCCATTGTGCAATACACACAATGAATGAAACTTGGCACATGGTGCCGACAGTCCATTTCAGATTTATATTAATATCCCATTGCTAACAGATTTATATTAATAYCAGATTTATATTAATATCCCATTGCTAAYACTGCAATGATGTCAACGTCTTTTGTAGCAATAYGAAGACAAACTTATTTTAAGGGAAAACACTTGAGAGTAACATAGCCATATAGAGTTATATTTTTATATATAGTGCTTGCCTGAATATTAAAATACTGTGAACYAAAGCAGCATTATGTAATCTAAAGAGCTAAAATACTGACTGACAAAGAGAGGTAAAATGGCATGGTAATGTAGAGTGATTTTGTGTTTTCATTGTGGCAATATAAAAAAAAAATTGACATTTCATTTTTAATCAAAAACCATCACCAGTACAGCACAGCACACAGCTATGCATCAACGGCTATACACTGATATGAAATGTTCAGTGGAATAGAATCATATTGCTTCATACAGCCCTCTCATTTGACAGTATAAATTTTATGAATACTGATARAAGAAGAAAAAAAAGATAAAATGGGGAATTTGGACTTCAGGAATACTGAAGAAACAGCTTGATGTATTCTTAAATTATACAGTTATATTCATATAAGATATACATTAGCATCCATATCTTACCTTGACAAAAGTGAGTTTACAAATACAAACACTGCTTTTTGTGTTTCTGATAGTTATCTCTCCATAGTGYTCTATCCATCTCCTTCCACTAAGAATATTATGTATGCAAGTAGTGACTTTGTTCCAGACATAGTAATCTCCATACCTAAGGACAGATAAAAATAGTTGGTAGCATCTGTTATTCATGATCATTGCAGACAAAAAGGTAAAACATTGCTCCTTTATTGTAAATAAAAACCATATTGCCTAGAAATATCTTTAGAGATGACAAAGTCCTGTATCTGGGTAAATCACTAATCCTCCTTAGAGAAGTTCACCTAAGCTCCAGTGCAGAGAACTGCAGAATGGTGCTAAAAAACACAGATAAACACCCTGTGAACCACTGGAGCCCTGCACGGCATATTCACTGTCCTCAGAGCACAAAGTGCTTTGGCCACAATTCCCACTGGGGCAGGACAGTGACCCACAGATCAACACAAGGCTGAACTGAGACTAGAAGCAGAAAATATCATTAAATCACAAATAGAACAAAATAAATGTAATGAATATTGTAACAAAATAAMTGAAAAGGAGATCAAGGAAACAAAGTAGGAAGCCAGGAGCACACTGGCACATCATCCCTTTCGCTCTGTAACATCTCTAATGTCAAAAAAGAGAATAAAACCAGTGCAAAGCAYATTCTCCTTCAGAGCTTGGGGGAAAGCATGAAGACAGAAGACAAAGCTGCTCCACAGTGCATTAACTTCAATTTCAAGAGATGGATAAAGAGGTGGAGTGATRCTATAATGTCAGAGCCAGAAAGAAAGGCTTGCTGGAATGTACAGGAGCACGAGCAACACTGCAAAAACAGAACACACATTTAAAGTACCCACTCCTTGCATATTCATAGGATTTACAAGCTGCAGCTGGTCTTACTGGTGGTGAAGCTACTACTTCCCACTACCCTGCCAACATCTGAAGAAAATATTTTGGTTTATCTGCATTTTGAAAAAAGATCTTTCATGGTCACCAGTGGTTGTTTCTGAGGGAACACGTGGTGGCACTGAGAGCCTTAGGACAGCACTAGCTGCTGACAGCCCTGCATTGCAGCCTTGCTCTGAACAGCTCATCACCACTGTACATTTAAAACATGGGCTCTCTCTCCTGAAACACTTCCATTCCCCCTCTCCCCATCACTTCCTAGAGAACTTGTATATTTTTCCTCCAAAACCAAAACCAGATCTTCAGGTTCAAAAATGCTCCAGTAACCCCACCTGAGCACTATGGAGAAATTGGAGCTGGACACCAACTCTCACCAGCACAGTACTTGTGATGTCTGCATACACTTCCCCAACCCTGTCACAAGGCAGCACAGAGTAGAGTGCACTAAAGACTGAAAACAAGAGGAGAATAGACTGAAAACAAGAGGAGAGGGGACAGTAGCTTACTTTGGAAGAGTCACATTCAAGGTTCCAACTGGCAGAATTTCCATTGATTTCCCCCAGAATTTGTTTTTCCATCTGATATCTGAATACAACAGTGAAATATTTAAAAARCTGAAAAGACCAATGTCTCCCCCTTGCAGTGATCACTGTGGCACATGAACCATCTGTGCTAGACCACCCAATTCAAAACAGGGCAGTAGATAGTACAAATTTTTTATGAAAATACTAAAGAAAAAMCACTAGAAAATTACATTAGGTCTGAAAAACTAGTGGTGAGTTTAATTACTAATCATGTCTGTGCTGCATTATTGTCAAACCTCCTGCACAAACATTCAGTACAAATTAATGGCATATACCAGTAGATCCAAGGAAAGAAAGGATTATTTGTTCAACTTTGTGAAAAGAACTGCTTGTAAGAAACAGTAATATTATTGGTAAAAACCTTATAAATAGAATAGTTTAAACAGGCTTCAAGTGACAGCAGAATTTGTAACGTCTGCTCACTCCTAAGAATGAGAATTTGGAGTAAAATAGATCAGATCATCAGTTTATGATATGTCATTTCAAAATAGTAAGTACAGAAATTCTGAGTAAGTTTCAAATGCAAAGCTCAGCTTGTACAAAGGTTTTATTTGACAATAAAAAAGGAGTTATGGTTTTGAATTAAAAAGTATACCTTGCCAAAACACAAAGTTTTTCGATTCACAGTGACAGGCCGAAATGGGAGGATGGTGGCTAACCTGGAAAACAGTTTGGTTGAGTTAAAAACATTTAATTTTCATTCCTGAAACAGTACAGTATTGCAATATGAAACTACTAAATAGCTCGTGTTGCTATGAAAACAGACACAACTTAAGTGTTYGTACTTAAAACTGTTCCTTGTGATTACTACAAAAACGTGTTCCTTCTAGCATTTAATGAAGTCCACTCACATTAACAATATTCATTTACTCCTAAGAAAGCAAACCATTCTAACTGGAAAGAAAAAATAGGATCATTCTATAAAATGATGAACCAAAAACATAAATCTAAGCAGGAATATCTATCTAGAAACAACTTTACCTGCTCTGAGAAAAATCGAAATCCTTTGTCTTCTCTAATACATTCATAAGTTTCACCAAGCACTGGGTTAAATGGCTTGCTTCCTGCTCTAAAGTATGTAGAGGCATAGCCTGATGCTGCAAAGGCAGCTATGAGGACCTGTGAAAATACAGACCAGAAGGTGAGAACAGGCAGACATTCCTGTGTATGTGCCATCTCTGTGTGGTACCACACAACTCACTCTGCTCAGAGTCAAAACTGAGGAGCATGCCTGAAAGTGAAGCCATGCATCCCAGGCAGAACCAGTACAAACTGTATTYCTTCTGTTGATATAATTTCTTTTTCTTCATAGCCTCATTCAGTCTTTCAACAGTCCCTTAAAATCCCAATCTGCACGACACACTTTCTCTGATAAGAGACCAGGCTTATCACTAGTGACCCTGCTCTAGTCCTCCTTCCTGTGAATAAATATTATGTGATAATTTCTAATTAAAAGAACACATAACATTTTCCTATGGGAACTATTTTATTTAGTGCCAAACATGAACAGCTCTCACTTAGGATGTCTTTAATGCCAAGTTATCTCCAGATCTTCCACACATGTGCAGCCTTAACAGCCCCCTTGTCTACATGTACAACCAAAATTTAATAATCTCCAAGCCAGGCCTAACTGGGAGCAATAAATTGACATGCTAGGGTTATTTAGTTTACAGATCCTATTTGCAGAGTTAAAAAAAATCACAACAGGCAGTCAGAATTTCAAACAAAACTTCAGAAAAAAAAATACAGGGATAAAAATGAGTCAGCTATTGGCAATATCCTACCAGTGGGGTAAACCTTAACCAGGTTCCCCTCTCCTCCTGCTAGTGAGGACACAGCCCTCATGTGAGGTTTTACACCATTTTTTTTCTTCCCACTGTGTAATGGGTGCTCCATTCTCCATTTCATATTATTCATAAATGCAGCATCAACAAAATCAACACTGTTTACACAGGCTTTTCTTCAACAGTAAAAACYTTCATTCTTCTGTAACTATCTTCAGATTAATTTCAAATTCCATTTAAATTTAACTATAAGACACTGCAGAGAAACAAAAGAGTTTACTATCCTTATGATACAGAGAGAAATGGAAAAAAAAAGTTCCCACTGCTTTTGGATATMTATCAAAGATAGCAAAGTCCTGCTCTTTCAGGACAGTGAACAAGCAGGTAACATATTCACTGCATTGCTGCCACAAGCTTTGGGTATTCAGAAYTTGTGCCAAGTAGACCCATATGCCTCAGCTTGGGTGTGCAGTTTGCATTTTTAAGGTGTACTTTAAAAGTCTGGCTTGTATTCCCAAGTACTGCAGCAGACATCTGTAGCAGAGAAGGGGATGGAATCCACATTTCTGAGCAAGCTTTCAGTTGCACCATGGCTGTTCCTGAATTCTTCTAATTACTTCAATACTGACCTTCCAAACTTTTCAACAAAGACAGCAATCARTCTGCTTTACTCATTACAATCATGCCCACTCCTTGCAGAATCTCCCTCCTTTTATGAGGGATAGAATCACAAAATATTCTGAGTTGGAAGRGACCCACCAGGATCATCTCCTGAGCCTTGCAGGAAAACAGAAAGGGATGATRTATAATTCATTAGAATTATATTATTCATTAGAATTCATTCAGAACTAATTCATTATAATTCATTACAGGTTCAACTTCTTCAGTGTTTAGAACTCCTCACTCTCCTGCAGRCCTTGTGAGCAYRGCAATTCAGGGACTCGAGCGTGTGATTGTGAGACAGCCACAGGCAATCTCTCYTCTCCAGTTATCCACAGTGCTGCCAGCCCACACCAGGAAACAGCAGATATGTTCAGCAGCAACACTGCCAACTTTCCTTTACAGCCTTTCCCTGCATCTTCTGACAGATCAAAGCACCCTGAAAGGAGCACAGGCTGCTGSCTGTCAGCTGAGAACCAAGACATCCTTACAGGGGACCTGAAGACAGGAAGCCCAGGCAAACTTKGTTTTGATGTTTGGAAACTTCCCTATTAGAAAGTGCCTGCAGGGCCATCTTATTCACACCTATACTGATCATAMGGCAGCCAGAGGCTTGAAAAAACCCTTGAAGCCTGCTGGACTTGATCACTGAAAGGCAGGAAAGGATGCTGCAAAGTTAGAAACTGGCAGTGCCTRCATATACAGTCACAGAGTGTGAGATCAATCTTAAACTGCATTTACAACTGCAGGGCTTGGTTTGAGGTCAAGAAAAGTTCTTCAGCTTTGTTCAGACCAAACCTATCACCTGTAACTTTTCACAACACACTTCTGACCCAACAGAGAGGTCTGTTGTCYATGAACACAGGAGGAAGAAAGGACCCTGCACGGACCTCCACTCAACAGCTCCCTTTTTAATAGAGACAGAGGACATGCTACACTAAATTCATTACCATGCGCTCATAAGGATCATCTGTTTCAGCAGCCTTGTCCAAGAGTTCACTGTATTCCAGCTCCTCACAAAGATGTTGCAAGGTATTCAGAGGTTCATTTAGCTCAACTGGCATGGATACTTTGGAAAGATCTTTGCCAATGTTATTTCTCAGAATGTTCCAAAGGTTGATGTTACTGGTGTCCGGGCTGGGAGCYGGGAGACAAGTTCTCCGTCCATTTCTGAATGCTCCTCCTGTCAGCTCACCGTTAAGAACTGGGAAGGGAAAAAAATATTATCATAAGAAAGCACCTGACTAAGAAAAACAGTTCTCCATTCAACCAAATCACCGCCAGAACAAGCAAGGCCAACTTCACTGTTTTCAGCTGAGTTGGTCTTGTATTGACATGCAGTAGTTCTGGTACATGAACATAACCAACGTAATTTCCCAAAATTTGAAACACAGTATACTTTGCCGAGAAATGTTGTCTGCAACACTGGTGTTGTCCTCAGATATATTGTCACTCACATCACTGATATAAGATTCATCATCAGAAGCCTACAACATAAATTAAATATCCATTAACTCATATATATACGAAATATACTGCTGAAATAGACAAAATTAGTTAACTGAAACACAAATATTCAAAGAAACAATCTCTACCCAGTTAGAATTTATAACTATATCAACTGGATTTTTTCAATCAGCCCAGAGCCAATGCACTAGAAGTGTCAAAACAAATGCTATGCTCTCCTCACATTTCTGTAAATTTCTGACTTCCTTACTATGCAAATACAGATATGAAATCTGCAAAAGGCAGCTTCAAGTAGGATTAGGGATGAACAAAAAATTGACAACATCATGAGCTAGGGATTGGAGGAGAGAAGAGAGAGTCAGATTTTTGCTTTTTATTAAGAACCGAACAATAAAATGCAACTTGTACTTCAGCCAATTATATAAACATCAACCTATCGTTTTGCAAAACAAGAATCTCATCAGGTAAAAAGACTATTTTTAAGAGTTGCTTTTAACAATTTTTCTTCCAGAAATATTACTTTTCTGTCTATTTCTCTCACTGAAGAGAGTAACTTTTATATGTATATAGTAAAGGATTTCTTTCAAGAATATTTTAAAATCTGAATTTGGTTGACTGCAGTCAGATGTAACTATGACATCTTTAGGTGGAGCTGCCATAGCCTAGAAAGGATACATATACTGAACATAAGCTACTGATAAAACTGACTTTGAACTCAGTTTTACATTTCAGGGAACTCYTGCACCTCTTTATGTGGTAGTCTCAGGTTTGTTTATCTACACATTATACATTCTGATACCTTTTCATTCTAAGAAGCAGTCTTTAAAAAAATAATCTCTAGTGACAGCAATACCTAACTCAGTCCAACAGCACGGCTGCCACACACTGTCATAGCCTACCTCATTTTCTGACGAGCTGGCAGATAGGAGCACTTCCTGTGCATCAAAGAACTCTGAAACAGATTCAGACATAGACAGCCTGCTTTCATTAGAAACTTGCTGAGACAGTGGCAAACTGACATGAATTTGTTCACCTGTCTGTAAATCAAGCACAGAAGAGTAAAAGTATTATTTCAAATAGTAAATAAAGATGCRTAGAAGGGGTAAATCACCTGAACAATTTTTCTGTGTCAAATATAAGCAAAGAGAGTAAAGACAGCATTTTAATAGGACTTTGTACTCCTTTGTAGTACACAAAGTGTACCTAACAGATGAGACTGAGGATTACTAAATAAAGTGAGATACATGTCTTTATTTGAGGCCTGCCCAGCATCTTCTGCCAAGTTTTAGCAGTGTGAAATTGCAGATCTAGATCTCTATGCAAAGAAATTATTTTGTGAACAATAGCTGGATTGGGTCAGATAACKTCAACCGTAAATTTCAGCTGAAATTACTCTGGTAATATCAAATCACTGGAGCTAATTTTGATCCAAAAAAACCCCGTGTTAAATAAAGCTTTATAAATATATGGGAGCTTTATAATATATGGGAGTTGCAAGTTATTTTCCAAATAAATGACCTTGTGAACCAGTTTAGTAACAATGTTTGAGATGTTTGAATATTTAGGAGGATAGCTATATATGTATATTTTTGTGTATATGAATTTACATTGTATACTTTTATGGACTTTTATTCTATGCTGGTATTCCAAATCTGATTTGAATTATGCCATTAAGACTGGCTCAATAGTACTAAAAGGAATGAACTCTCTACAGTTTATGATAAAGAAATGCAATAGCAAAGTCAAGGGGTTTAAACTGTGTTATGTGTGTGTCAATAATGCAGCAAGCGAAAACAGTGAAATATATCCTCCTCTTCCTGCTAGGGATGGGAGGAACACCACATTTCTATGTGAGCCTGCAGGCTACCACATTAAGGAAAATTAAGATTCTCTCCCTGAACCATTTTACCACAGGACCTGATGCTGTGGAGAGAAACAGGTTTCTGACTTAATCCCTTAATTTATACAGCATGTTGCTTCTGGGAGATAATACAGATGAAACTGCTGAAGCCATTCTAAAAACAATTAACTCTTCAGATTGCAACTCAATGCCCATTAATCTTATTCCAGAACTCCTGCATATGGTTGTTGACATCTTAATCCTGTARAATTATTCTATACAGTCACCTCAAAAGGAGCTAACAAAACATTCCTAAAAAAACCCATGAACAAGCCAAGAGGTCAAAACCATTCCTTTTTCACCACRATTTATAAGCTTGTAGATGGATTGTGATGCTTGATGACTTATAATGAAAACAGATGYTCATTTTACTGTAATCTGTACAGGAAGTGATTAAAATTTTGACATTTTCATGTAAACTAGAGGGGCATGGAAAAATACATGTGCCTACCTGAAAAAGACCCTCACACAGGCATTATCTACACACTGCAAAATCATAGATATACATAAAACAAACAAGATAAATGAATGAGAGATCTGGAAACTTTGTCGAAAAACTTCTTCAGTCAGGCAGACTTCTACCAAGACAATGATGAACAAATGAAAAAGAAACAGCTAACCAACCAAAAATACTGGTGGACACTGCCCAGAACTTCACTGCAGATTGCTGTGCTGTGGCACCACTTCACATCTATCTTCTGTTATCAGCCTCCAACATGCTGGATTCTTGGAAAAATTGTTTGCATGTTTTCAAAAGGCAAATAAACAAAAACAATTTTACCTTTCTTGCTTGTTGGAAGAAATAATTAGGAGACTAGACTATGTTAGTTGAAATGGCATATGCATAGAAAAAAGAAGTGGAAATGACAAATCAGAAACATTTTGGTAAAATGCAAGCAGAATGGTTGCCAAAGTGACCATCCTAACTGTAATATATTACAGTCCATAAATTCAGACTTGTCACGGGGGAAGCTCACTGTTATTAATACAAACGTTCATTAATCTGTTGACTAAGGAAAGCAAAACAAGAAAGACTAGATGTTGCAATGATACTAGTGCTTGGTTTATAGACTGAACCTTTTGATTTTAACAGCACCACTCAAGATATTAAATGTGAGGCCCTTTAGGCACTTGCAAAACCAGGCTATTAAAACCAAATTGTTCTGTTGATTTGGCAAGAAACTAAGAGAATTGGTTAGGTACAGTGTGATACATTCAAATACAGYAAAACATCACTAATTCCCACAGCCAACAATTAATATTCCAAAACTGGATTCATTGTCTGTTCCTCTAAAGAGACTAAGCTGAGTTCTTTCATGATGTCTGACATATGGAAAACAAAAGACCAAAGTTTTATTGTATGGAAGGAAATATAAYCTGACCTGTTCTATGAATAAACATTCGGCAATCTGAAAAATCCAATAATTTGTCAGGTGTGTTTCAACTATTTAGTGAGAATTAGCAAGGCTTATTTGCACTCTAAAACCATTCAAGGCCAAAGTCTTACCTCATCAGGACTAGGGATAATATTTACACTGACAACCTGATCACAAATAACAGATTCTGAATGTATTCTGTTCAAGCGACTCCTTAGTTCAGCATTCTGGTTGAGAGCCTTAAAATAAAAATTGCACATTTCATTTAAAATTAAAAAGCAAACATTAAAAAAAAAAAGACAAGAAAAAAAAAGCTTTTTTTCCAGCAATTTCCAAAAAAAAAATCACAGAGCCTCCTTTCTTCCATTAATAGAGAGATACCTATTTTGAGATCCTCTCTAACATGATTTAATCTTTGGCTACTTTGACTTCACTGATTTTCAGGAGACAGGAGGACAAATGTTCTCCCACAATGTAACAGTGGCATTCTACCTTAGTTCCTGAGAGAGCTCTTTGGCAGGTGTGCTGGTGGGTTATGTACATCATGAAAATGGGGAGTGAAGGCAGCAAGAAAGAGTGAAACTGCAGAACAATAAATGGGAACTACCCACAAAATGCCCAGAGGCAATTCGTGGTTCACAGCTAAACAGCCCCTTCTGAGTCAATGTTAGCAGCACTCAGAGGCTGCAAACAGAAATTGCTTCATTTCCAGTAAAAACAACATAATTGCTATTATCATTGTCTGGCCACCCAGATCAATTTTATAGATTTGCTTTTGTACTTATTTCAAACTACTGATTCACTATGGTATCACAAATGCCAACAGAATTCAACTGGTGCCTGGCATCTGCTGATTTTTCTCCTATTTTAAAGTCCAACCCAGAATATAAATTTGGGTGCATATATACACCTATTATCTGTTATTTGTCAAGACCCATATGTGAGATTCTGAAATCCAGAAGTATAACACAATACATACACAGAACATGTCTGTCTTAACCTTAATACATCCCCAGCACCGAGGATTATAGAAAAGAACAACAGATTAAAAAAAAAAAACCCAACAACAACATCTTGTTTTAGTAGCAAAGAATTGTTACAGTAGAGTAAGAACCTTCTTCTGTCTCCCCCTAGCACAGATTCAGGAACAGATTGCAGCTTGTTTCAGAATGTACTGAAACAAAGTAGGAMCAAAGTAAAATAGGTAAGCCTAAACTGTCACTAAACAGTTTAAATTACCCAATTTTGCTTTGTTCTGAAATGGTCTGGGCATGTTCATAATTGACATGTCCCAGAAATGGAAGGCAATGACGTACAGCAGCCTGACAAGAGCTCCTTCAACAGCTTAAACCTGGTCACGAGACTGGGCAAACTGAGTCACAGTCTATTTTCCACTTTCTCTGCACTGAGACCATGAACTAACGTGTGACAGTGACTTTTAAACACACATAGGAGGTCAGGACCAAGAAGAAAACATGATTCCCTACTTCATGCAAGCTGCTAATAAATATCCACAGGTCTTAGACAAACATGTGTCAATAACCAGAAATGGTTATCCTTATCTCTTGTCCCTGACCTTTTCTTATCACAATTCACAGAATTCAATCTGCATAATGTGGTGTGCACCTGCATCTATAGAAAGGCTTGTCTTTAAACCTCTGCACTTGCTTCTTGCAGATGCAGTCTTCCACACCAATCCAGCAAATGCTTTTATGCTACCTTGAGGATTAATTTTTTTTAATTTACTTATTTTGCAACCTGAGGACTTACTGTTGCTTATTTCTTCTTCACCACTAAAGCAAATTAGAAYTTTTTTCCTTCAGCTTAAGTGGGAGAGATGCTGGAGAGTAACAGGTGTGTATCTAGAAATCCAATTTACCCATGACTATATTGCAAMCCAGGATTCCTTTTGCATTTAAAGATACAGACATATAAAACAAATTTGACAATATACAGTCAAAATATAAAACTTAGTTACAAAACCAAATATATTTCCTTGGCTATGCTGGAAACAGCTCCAAGAAACATTTGCATTTGTATAAAAACATTTGATCCTTTTCCTTTACTTTGGAGAACTGCAACACATACATGCTTACACAAATTATATCCGTAACCTTCGCATGCACTGTGGTTAGATCTACATCCTAACAGAACATGCCATAGTTCTGGTTAAGAATTTGTCTTTTTCTTGGCTCCTTTTACCTCAGGAAAAGGCCAAAATACAAAAGAAATAGTGCATCAGGCAAGCTAGAGGTGCTTGTAATCAAATCAAGAACATACCTGAGAGAGGGACTGTCTGAGGTGTGCTATTTGAGCATTGTGGCCTGTAAGATCCTGCTCTGAAACAATCTGCTTAAGCTTCTCCTTCTCTATAGCTATGCTGTTAAAGGCAGACTTCAAAAGAGAATGCACTAAGCAAAAAGAAAAAAAAAAAAAAAGTGTTTTCTTGGCTACAGAAATCACATTGACATCTATTACAACATTTCAGCAATAAAGACAGAGAGTCAGACTTCCATCCCACAATTATGGACATTTGAAACAAGGGTCTGAACTTCAAGTAATCCATSCCAAATTAAGTACAGACATTTACAGCTTGGGATTGTAAAGTGCGCACTGTGTGTTCACACATATCTCATCTCAGCGTATTCTTGGTGCTGAACATATGGAAAGRTATGTATTTGGAAAAACTGTGTCCAATGTGTGTTCTTTTCTTTCTGTTTTTAATTTGTACTTTTCAGAGTACAGCAGAAACATCAGCTCTGCTAGGATTTAATATTGTACTAATAAAGAGGATTATTTGGTCTTTAAACAGGTTTTTAAAATTTTTAAGATGTCAGTCTCACATTTTTTCTATGCTTGTTATATAACAGCAAACTGTCAACAAAACCTTTCTAAAATGGTATTTTTCAGTTTGTAGGACCATTCACTTACTGGCAATAAAATTGTATTTCTATAGTACATTCCTGCAATAAGCTCTTTTTCCATTGATTCCACTGACACATAAAATATTGCGCAAAAATGAATTCATAACATGATGAGTAGCAGTTACATTCTGAATCATCTTTGGGGAGAAATAAATCATCTTGTTGAGAAATAAACAAGTTTGCAAATTCAATCCCTCATTTACAGAATGCAGAAAGTAGTTCAGAAGACTTGGAAAACATTCTCAGACAGAGCTTACCTATCTTTATATTTATGACATTCATGGGAAATATAAGAAGGATGATACATGTTGCCTTTATGTAAGCCACCTGAATAGCTCAATTTTCATCATGCAGATGAAAGCCCTGGCCATAACTCAGTGAAGGCAATAAAGAAACACAACATTACAGGAAAGGAYTGGTTCTCCAGCTACCTTTTTGTGCCGTCAAGCAGAATTCCTCTTGAAGCTTCATGTACTCGGTAGAGCACTCCAGAGGGTCTGTTACATGGCTGGGGGGAGCCTGAAACTCAATGTCTGCGCAAAGGTTGGGGTTGGATGAATGYAATCGAACGGGTGACATTGTAGCACTGAAAGGAACCTACAGTGAGAAACAGCGAAGAAACGTTGTATAAGGCGTAACCAAAATTTTGACTGTTGAAGCAAAACATTTTTCTGAAAAGACTTAGTTCACAAGGTGAAGAACATGAAAAGAGTGAACATGTAACTTCTTACTCTCCTACATCTCAACAGAGTTGATGCAGATTTCTCTTGATTTTTTTTTTCACTGAAACAGAAAAAAGAASGCCTAAATACACAGCTAACAGCTAATGATGGAGTATTTAAATTCTAACTTTTCTAACAAAAAATGAATTATTTCCTAATGTTAGAAGATTTCTGGAAAATTGAACCATGAGACATGCTCCTTTATATCTGGACATTTGACAGTAATAGTAGATGAGTCTGTTGTTGCAGTACCAACATTTGAAGTATGCAAGCTCTTCCACAAATCTAGAAATAGKATATAATATTATCAAATATACCAAAGAAGTTTGTCAAAACTACTAGTAAATCTCTAGTTGAAACTCACTGTACTAGAGACTATGAAGAGGGGGGAAAGCACACAGTCTTTCTGTTTCATTTTTAACTAAACAAATAACAACAAAATAAAATCAAAACTCCATCTGATTTTCACTTAAAGTACATGAACCATAAAGAAACGCAGAGATATATATGGTTTAGTAAGATGGAGTAAAGAATTCAGTTTGTTGTCTTTCCACTTCTCTTTCTCCTCTGCTCTTCAGGTATAGTCATAAAAGAAAAAGTACAAGCAAGTCTTTTTAAGTTATTTACATGTATCATGTAGTGAGCAGTTATCTATATACTACCTGTGCACTGTAAGGCTACTGCTGCTATAAATGTGATGTGCGTGTGGGCATGTGTTGTATTTTACTTTAGTGCYACCATTTGCATACATTTATAGGAAAATCAGGCCAAGAACACAATTTTCAAATGCAAATGCAAAAGAAAGGCATGCAGAACTACATTTTGTTACTTAAACATTGTGCGCTGTTTAAGGTATTAAGCACTGTTTAGCCCATTAAATCTAATTAATTTCATTWGATTGATCAAAAGTGTAAATCAAGAATTTTCACACTGCAGCCCAATGTAATTACTCAAATCTGAAAAATGGGGCCAAATTATAACATGTCTCTTCCAAGGCATGACAAAGAAACAAACATGTCTCTTCCAAGGTATGACAAGCAGATAACATAAAAAGTCATATTACTATGAATTTTTATCAACAGATTAGTTCTGTACTGCCATCACTGGTTAAACCTGTTACTTGATTAGATCAGAGAGTGGTTTTATCAATTCCTTCCCATAAAAGTAGACATCAGTACACATTTTAGGTTTCTCCAAYGATACACTCAAAATCCTGTTGGATCTATTATTCATTGCACTCATGAGCATGATCTGTGAAATATGTTTTCCACTCTGTTCTTTCTTGATTTCCAGATACTTATAGCACATTAAATAAGAACTCTATGGCACCTATCTAATATAAGCTTTATTCCTTCTCTCAAGTACTTGAGTTCCAGCTATATCAACAAAGTAGGTATTTTTTACTGTGTCTCACTTTAGCCTCATATCAAGAAGAATTCATTAACAGAAGAYGTAGAATAAATTCCTTCTATTCATACTGAATATCTAACCCTTTATTTTCATCACAAGTACCAGACTTCTCTCAAGAGCCCAGCAAAACTAGGTTACTGTGGCTAAATGTAGGTTAATTTCCCATTTCCTTTCCCAAACATTTCCCCTTGTTAAATAGGAGAGCATGTTTCCAGAACTTTCTGACTYGGAGCACCACAAAGATCCAACTGCTCTGGGCGGCTCCAGGAGGGCAGAGCAGGCATCTACACTGTACCTGTTGTGTGGAGCACGTATCCAGCTCCCCAGAGCATCCAGAAGGAAGGGGAGAAGCTGATACCAGCAGGAGAGTCCCCCCAGCCCCACATTCCTGTGGAGATGGGGGAGGTTCCTCAGCCCCACATGGACTGGCAGAGCTACAGGCAGGCTGCCCACACATGCAGGGGGCTCTTTAGTCACTCTCTGATGAATCAAGCTGAAGARATCTGCTTTAGATCCATCATTTCTGTCTCAAACCCCAGCTGGCCAGGCTGAAATGTTTTCTGCAGTGAGGTTTATTGAAAAAAATAGTATTTTCAATTATGCCCTAGAAACAGAATTTACATGTTCTACAAATATGTCACACTTCTTGCAAGAAATATGCATTCACATGACAGAGACAAGTAGCCTTGCTGACTGCTTTAAATGTAAGAACCAAAAATACCAAACTGTTGACATCAACTCTCCTCATACGCATTTTTCAGAGAAGTTTCCAAGCTACTTTCCATAACAGATGAAAAAAACCCACATTAAACAGCCATTTTCATTCTCTTGAGTGGGCAAAAGTCCAACAAACACTGTCAATTAACTTCTCTTCCCCTTTTCTCTTTTCACTGATGTGCTTTCTCTCTACACTAATGGTGACTTGATTCTGACTTACTACCCATTCTCCTTTTGGCTGTTTYTTATTGTTGAAGATTTTTGAAAAAAAATATTTAGCTTCTTGATGCATCACTCTAGCTTTCTCCACACAGACACTTCTAGACACAACCTCAGCTGAACCTTGTCCCAACTTCCTGCTTTACACCAGAGGCGTTATACCCACTCATCTATCACCTTCAGAATTACGTGTTCATGAAGGAACAGACTGTTCCTGSTGGAGTGGGCTGTAAAGAAAACCTTTCTGCTGTGCATTTAGCTGATATAATTCTGTAACCCTCAGTCTAGGCACACAGTTTCACTGTCTGTGAGAAACAGCCATTTTTTGCATCATGGCCATGGCCATGAAGGCTGCAACAGCCACAAAGTCATTTCAGTGCCCCAAGTTATCCTTCCTCCTGCATTTTTTCCAGCTCCTCCAAGACCTCCCTCAACAGGTCCTCSCTTCAGCTGCAGCTAACAACTCAGCAATTCTCTGCACTGTTACTGCCTTCCAGCCCAAGTCCAGCTGTCCAGTGAAGCTCTCCTTAGGCAGGAGCACAACCCTTGCCAGTGCTGCTGAACTGCTGCTGAGCCTTCTGTTCAGAGCCTCCCACTGACACTGCTCAGCCCTGGGAACTGGGATCAGGTGGATTTCTGTGCCAGGCAGGCAGACTGACAGAGTCAAAATAGCAATCAGCTATGGAGCACGGCGTTCAGCATCAACTGACTATGGAGGAATAAATTTAGATGAGTTAATTTGGAAACTGGAGAAACACTGGGATGTCTTATGCTTTTTACAAGGATATAGCAATAACTGAGTTGGTGGTTCAGGTAGCAGGAGCCCAAGATTAAGCAGAAACTATGTCTGATCTAGGGGATTTTAGGAACAGCAGACCTGGAATACTTCAGCCTGGTGAAGCCATTCACTGCTTGGGCTAAATAAGGGGTGTACATTTAATGTTCACTTCAGTCTTTGGCTGCACATCCTTCCCTATCTTGGTTTGGTGCACATCAGCTGATGGACTCACACTAATGTCTATTCTAATACCAATACTTCCTAATGAGTACTTTCTTACTAAAGCAGCAGCTGAAGATATCCTTTTGATGGTAATTCAATTTCAAAAACGGGACTTCCCACACCTAATTCCCAGCCYGTGTTGATTTCATAGCTCAATGTCCTCTGCAAAGATTTAGAGAATTAGCAAATCAACATACAGACACGGGGGTAGTAATATGACTTTTTGGGATTATGGAATGTAAACAGCAAGTGCCTCAATTGAAAAGACTAACTTTATACTACTTAAAAAAAATCGGAAGTTTTATAATTCCATGGTTATTTGTAACAAATCTCCTTGGTTCTGGTGTCTTGCTATAACTGTCAGAACATTTTTTAACAGAATTKGATAAATTTTTTCCTATTTTGTATAGTATGTCAAAGACATATTCAGTGCAGGGCCTGAGTCTGTCACTTGCACTTGCATAAAGGAGGAGGACATGTATCACATAAACAAGCTCAGACCCACATTTACAGAATTCATTTGTGTTGGGCCTGACCACTTCTAAGAAAGTCAGCTGAAAGTGGGTAGCATGGACACCTCCAGAAAGTGCAAGAAACATTTTMATAAGCTTATTAACAATCCAGTTACACAGCTTCCCCTCCTTAGAGCTATCCCTTGATTTTTAAATCCACTCACTGTTGTAGCCACTGCAGCTGCCAGTCTCTGCCGGCGTCGTGTTGTGCTGAACTGGCCCTTCGGTGCCGGCCCTTCCTGACAGTGAATGCAAGAAAAGAAGGAAGTAGAAAAAGAGAAGGGAAGGGGTGATGGGACACAGGAAGATGAAAGGTGATCAGAAAAGGGAGAGGGACAGTCTTTAAGTGGGTTTYGATTTTGTTAACTCTTATGGCCTACACATGTTGAGGATATACCAAGTGTTTTCAGCTGTGCATGCCAGAGACATAAAAAGCTGGATATTTCACTAAAGTTATCTCCAGATGAGTTGGACTGCAGTGCACTCACTAAGATTACACCAAAAAAAAAAATCTATCAGCATTGCCATTGAGAGTCATAAGGCAATAATGGAATAAGAGAACAAAAATGATGCTACAGCATGCCAGAAAAYAAAACAAAAATCAAACTCCTTCTGGGGTCACTTAACCAACTGGAAGATGAGTTCTGGAAGAGATGGCTTTGCAATCGTGGACGTGCAGAAACTGTAGTCACAGAAGATGCATGTRTCTCAATGGTAGAACTTCTCGGTGTGTGTGTTATCTATTGAATTTTCTCATGTAAACATTCCTGTGCATAGCTCTGGCATTTCCACACCCATCCTTGAGCCTATTGAATCATTTTCTCCACATATCACCTTTTTGAGTTCCACCTACTTTTCCCGTATGTTATTGAAGGCTTGGCTTGCAAAGCGAGGCAAAAACTGAGACAAAGCTGCACAAATAAAAATGAATTATTTCAACAACTACTTCCTTTTCTGCTTGCCTAACTTGTGGCTTCATCCTGTTAATTTTACACTTATTTTACTTGTACTAGAATTAGTCATGTTACATTACAGCCAAGCAAGTAACTGTCTAATGCAGAGGACTGTCATAAAGTCATTCTATTTAATCTTTAATCAAAATGTCGTAATTTTGAAGCTATTTTAAGATTTTGAAAGACKAGAAAAGACACCTTTCTGCTTTTAGAAAACAATTCTCAATTCCTTCACATTTTTCATCCCCTATATCTTCCTCATAACCACTTCAGTATTTTTAGATCTGTATAYATTTTTCCCTTTTTCTGCCAGCAGCCTGACCGCCATACAAATAACAATGTATGGATTGGGTCCATGGACACCATGCTGAAGAGCAGGGTACTGTATTTCAATTACTGGGTGAATGGTCTTGCTTCTGCAACATTCCCATGAGGGTTGCTACAGCTGAGAATGGCCAACACTTCTGGCAGTAGTGTGTCAATGCCACTGACAATTGGAAGGGTTGTCTAATGTTCACAGTAAAAGACTTGTGGGGCATTATTTTGTGTAATTCTCACATTAAAAAGACATGTACATAACCTCTAAAATACTGAGAACAAACTCTGTTAAAGCAGAGAACAGATCGTATGCATAATGTGAAGCTCTTCGTGCCCTACAGAATATGTCTATCTTATGAATAAGAATTTGGAAGAATATTCTTATTTAAATAATAGGGACAAACCTATGTACAGAGAGATATGCACAAATACATATATATATATATAAAATTTTGAACGCAAGTATGCATTATTAAAATGGGAACAGTGAGCTCTGCAGAACCACACACTCTCCTCAACACAATAGAAACCGAGGTCGTAATCTSTATTACCATAAAAATAAATACTTATTTAATGGAAGAAGTAGTAAGCTGGTCTGGGTCTGGTTTCATTTCTGAGCTGAAACCTTTGGTAGAGGAATATGATTTTTCAGGTTACTCTACAATATACAGTTCTCTATTAAACTATTCCCCTGGGAAGTCTTGGAACATCACTTTGARCTTTTGAGGGAAACCAAAATATCACTGGTTCATTTTGTTGCTTTGCAGTAATGCTAGTTTTCCTTCCTTTGAAGATCCTTAGGCTATCATGAGAATGATAACTTAGCCTTTTACTCAAAGGGAAATAAACAAATTTTTTTAAAAACCACCAACCAAAAAACAAACTCCGCAACTCATTTTTAGTACAAAAATCTAATTTGCAAAATGAATACAGGTCAACTAACCTGTTGTTGCAGGYCATTTTTGTAAGATTTTACATAGGTTTTTTGAAACCAAAATGAACTTCCTTAATATAAGCAATCTTTCTTTAGAGAAGCAATTCATGCATTACCCTTGARTAAAGGCCTGTAAATTCAGCTGTTAATTCTACACAACTTGGCAGCAGTAAACACCCAAACCTGCAAACGTATAAACACATGCTATGCTCAGTTTTACTTTGGGGAGTAACCCCACTTTAGTTACTGGGATAAGCTGTGTGAGCAAAGTCAACTGCACACAAAACTGGTATATTTAAGTAACTGGTAAATATAAATTTCTGGGAAACAAATCATGCAGCTTTGCTTACAAGAAAAAGCATGTTTTAAATATTTTACATACCTAGCATTCATACTGCAGAATGTGTTAGCAGGAATAACATAAAAGCTATCTTATCAACAAAAGAATGGTAACAAATACAATACAAAATCTGGGTGGGAGAATTCCCTCCTTGCCTCAGACACAGTGCATATTGAGCCAGCAGAAATCACACCCTCGTTCCCCATCACTCACAAAGCACACACCTTTACATAAAGCTCCCTGATTTTATATTCCCAAGAAGGATGCTCTCAACATCATATGATCAGGTCTTTGATGGTAGTTGACAACTGCTCATTGTCAAATAAATAGGTGCAAGTACTCCAAACAGAATTTACAGTGAAACTGACTTAAAGTTAGTTTGTTAATATTTATCCCCAAATACCAATGAGATGTATGATGGTATAGAGAAAGTAACARTACAACAGAAAAATTATTAGTACCAAATGTCAACCATTCAATAGCAAAATACGTGCAAGCACCATGAAAACAATGATCACAAATTAGTCAAAATGATTCTCAGCAGGGCATATCCTGATAAACAGTTCAGAAAGACTTGAAAAMAAGAGCAATAAGGAAGGCCATTGAAGTAAAAGAAATGTCTAACAGAAGAACAAAATGGGAATTAGCTTAAAGGGCATGTAAGGCATCAGAGGAAATCCACATTTTAGTGGCAAAAATTCCTAAACAAATCAGGAATAACACAATGAGTCAGTGAAGCCATCTTCCTACAGATCACAGCTCTAGTATTCATAGGACAGGACAGCTTTTAGAAGAATAAACTGAGTCTACCAAACTAGGCAAGATGATGGGAGTAGCCATCAAATATTCTTTGTCTTCCATACAATTTAAAACAATTCTATTGTTTCTGTTTCACTACAAATTAACTTAGAAAACAGTCAACAATAACTCAATACTTTGCTATAACAAAATAAGCTTTATATTTGCASCATGAAATTTGCCAGGAATTAATGCTGGCCCAACTCAAGCAGAGTTCATTATGAACCCAGAAGTGACAGACCCATGTAGAGCAGTGCCATGCACCCAACCTCTCTCAGGGGAACCTGCAAACCAACCCTATCTGAAAACTTCAGGAGCTGAGGCACACTTGTGTCAAACCAAAAGAAGTAKCTGGAGAGTCAGGTGGCTGTGATGGAAGCCCAGGCCAGTGTTACATTGGCAAAGTGCAGGTAATACAGGAACAGCTCATTATTCACTCTGACCAACCATAAATCATCATACATTGACTGCTTTCATCATTTTTGCAGATAGGACTTGTCTGAGATTACTGTGCTAAGAAAAACATGCAATGGTGACTGACTCTTCATAGGCACCAAATACTTGCACACATTTTCCTGATATTTTAATTTGCCTGTGTTGCTCGGCACCAGGGAAAAACTGTGATCCTTCAATTGCAGATAATAGGACATTACATCAGTAACAAAAATTCCTTTGTTAATAAACCTTTTAAATCCCAACAGATGCTTCATTGTTCTACCTATCGTGATTTATCAAAGTATAACAGGCAGAAAGAAAAATCAACTACAAGAGCTGCAATGAGAAAGCTGATGCAACTATAATTTCTTCCTTCTCTAAGATAAATAATCTTAAATGAAAACTCCTTAATGTGCCTATTGGGGACATATTAAAGTTTTCAAAAGACTTTCAAAGTATTTGAATGATTAAAAGTTGCTGGCATTTATCTCCTCAGAAGCAGACACCAGAGCAGTGATTGTTAGCTCCCAAAGTTGTATAGTCCCCCCCATTATCAGTTCCTAAGTTATAAAAGGTATCAGCTTTTGGATCAGACCTCAGAACACACAACTGCTTCCAACAAAACACRAGGCAGCAATACATGCACATAATACTTATTTCTGGGCTTTTACCTTCCACTACTAGGGAAGGATGGGGTAAATTCCTGCTTCATATAATTTTTTTTTTTTGATTATTCCGTTTGTTCCATATTAGCCTTTTCCGTAAGAGAAGGCTTGTTAAAAYACTTATAATTGGCAATATTGCAAGCATAGGTCTTTACAAAGACTAGTGTGTTTAGTATTTCATTCTAAACACACTAAACTGGTATGTTTAGCATTTCATTCTGCTTTTAACTTGATGCCACTTGTTCAGCTGCCCTTCTTTCCAAGTTTGATATGGAACAGCAGTATCCCCATATGGTGCACATACACTGAGTTTTATATACCTTAATTGACTAATATTCAGATCCCCCTCCTTTCCCTAGATGGCAATGTTTTCATATGAATGAAATTAAAATCAGCACTTTTCTTGCTCTCTTCCCTAGGTTCTGAACACCAACTGAGATTTAATTTACATCATTAGAAACACAGAAGACAGCACATTGACTTCCTACTTTCAGCTAATATGTCATTCCATGCTTAGAAGTTATTCTAAAAGTACAGTGAAAAATAAAACAGTGCATTCAGTACCTGAAGTTGAATTTTTGCATCTTTGCTGACACTTTTTGTTCTCCATCGTCTCGTGACCCGCTTGTCTTTCTTTGAAATATCTACACAGTTAGCCTACATTGCACAAATAGTTAAAAGCGACAAAGTGCTATTAAGTTGACACAAGCAACACAGACAATACAGCAAGTTAGTAAAGAATTGTAGCATTAGACATACAGGAATTAGAAAGTAAGGAGAAGAACGCTGCTACTGAGGCCCGAAACTGGGAGCAGTGACCTGCTCTAGCTATCCATAAATATTCATATAGATATCCATATTCACTTTATAAACACATGGTACAGTTAGTTCCTTTAGCAAAACTACTGGTGCCCTTTTTTTTTAYAGGTGTTTAATATTTAGGACCAGATCCTGACATCCTCATGGATTTCTATTATGGTACTACTCAGATATTTGTACAGACAAGAGGATTCAGTGAAAAAGGAAGAAAGTATTTATGATTCAGGATCTGCTGTTGCTTTCTATTAAGAGAAAAACTCACCCTGAACTGGGAAACAGTCCAAAACTTGGGACCCTTGTACTATGCCCCCTGTTCTAGAGCATGTAACTTCATCTTTGAGGGTCCTTGCGTCTCCAATCCTTAAAAAACTTAAAATGTCATCTTACTCAGCACAACAAGAACTCCTTAAATATAACTTCAATTTACACATGTATTCTATTGTAACAGTTCTGATTTGTTTTGCAAATTACTTAATCATTTGATTTGTCCTATTTAACTCAAATATTAAATACACCTTAATTATTTGTTTACACATGAAACAGAAACAGTATTACACATGATTACAATAAATATATAAGATAAACATTTAATCCAAATGTGCTATTATTTTATAAAACCATTCTAACACACAACACATCTATATTTCTCTTAAAASAAAGAACAAATATTTCAGTGTCACGATTTAAGTTCAAGCATATTTACCTGCATGTCTGTGAAATTTGGTGCYGACTGAGTTCTCTGTAATATTTCTAAGTTTTGAAGAAGTTTACTGAGTTCCACAAGGTTAGACTGACAATGAGCAAGATCTAAGATATAAAATAAAAATACATTAGGTGTTTMAATTTAGACTTTTTTTTGCCATGGTGTTCATTGTTAGCACTTGATTATAGCATAAAATTTAAATGTTGAAACCCCATGTAGTAAGGCATCCAAGTAAAACTTGTATTTTTAGAGATGTTGAACACTTGTTATTTCTATAGGAGTCAGCAACAAGTCTGGACCTCAGAAAGTGATCGTATGCAAACAATGATATCCATTAAAATAACACAGATTATTAAGATAAATTTTAAAAGTTACACCCTAAAACACACAGAGAGCAAAGTTCCCACCACAAGTATCTAATTACCTGAAAAGCTACCTCATGTGCATGTTAAGACGAAACTTAACCACTTTCCTGACTTGACCCTTTCTTACAGCAACAARGAGTTCTGCTGATATAACAAAGCATGAAAAGATAAAGTCTAACCTTCTGCACATCTGTCCATCTCTTCGGAGTCCTGCAACCAGGCTGCTACTTTACTCTGACCAGTAGTGCATGTGACAGGAAGGCTGTTACTGCAAGGTATGGGAGGCTGCCAGGGGTAGTTATTTTGTTGAACCTAAAGCATAATAAAATGCTTGAATTTATTGTTGCTATGTTATTCTGTCAGTGTAATGACCACACTACTTCAGAATCAAAATGTGCATTGTGATTGCAGTCACATCTGTGATTTGTCTGCATAGCTCCCAAAGACAGACTTTTCTGATTAGCACATTGGAGATTSAAACCAAGAACCTCACAAGTGGACTGTGTTTGCTAGCTATGAGTTAGGAAAGTTGTTGTTTAAGAGGAAGAACACAATCAGCAAAGAGACAAATTTACAACTGATGACAAAGGCAAATTGTACGGGCAGTGAATACTTTGCAAGGTGTCTGSAGAAGCCCAGTAATGAAGAAAGGCTAATTAGACAGTTTTTCAACTGCACACACKCACAGCTTTTCACTGGCTTCTGGTTCCCACAGTGGAAGCTCCTGTCTTAGTGGCATTATGAGAAAAGCCCACTGAAACTTCCCCTAAGCAAGGTGTGAGTTTCCAGCCACAGAGCACTACAGACCTTTCCATCSGACACGTTGGCAGCTGGTGAAGACTCTGTGGTAGATGCTGAGGGRAATATGTGGAAGCTGGCATCCCTCGGGGACCTCACGATCTCATTCTGACGGTACAGCCGGTGGTGCCGCAACTTTGAAACCCACGCATCAAATGTATCCTGTGATTTCACCTGGAAAAAAAATTACTATCAAGAAAGCATTCAAATACTACTTTTCTGCATAATCTTTTACAATTCTATTTATTTATTTCTACCGAGGATGAAGAAACTATCTGTATTTGTACATTTTACCTTTAGGTGATAGATGTGTTCTTCTGTGTCAAGATCTATTCTACGAGCCTTTTTTTTAATTGACATGACTGATAAACCAACATCGATGCTCCCATGAACCTTTCCTTTCTGTATCTAAAATCAAAAAAATCAGKGTAAAAATTTAGAAGTATCATGCAATTTTTGGATATATTTAACAGAAAAATACCTGGTGCTGAAATGGTTTCCTATTTATAAACACTTAATGTTTAAAGCCATATTTTTTTTAAAAAGCTGCATTCAGTCTGCACTCAAACTAACCATTTATTATATTTACAGTCAGAGAAAAGTATCTCACAAGAAGTGCTTGGTACAAAGCCAGCTCCAAAGTTTAAGTGTGCTGGCTCACATCAGTGCTTAGGTACAGGCTGCTATGACTTGTTAGTTATTGGTATCAGATCTAACTAATTTATTGTTACCCTTTACATCTCTAGACTAYAACATTATCAATTGTTTGTCCTATCCACATGTCACAGAATAATCAGCTCTGACTGACAATAAAAATTGGAAACAAAAAATATGTGGTCAGGTTTACCTCTCAAGCAGTTTCATTCAAGAAACTAAGTAATTTAACTTACATTTTCATAGAAGTAAAAAAGGTTGTATTCTTGARGACATAACCAAAACCTTACGTGGTTTGTCTTCAAATCCATCAACAACTTTCATGTGGGTACTGTCATAACACGCCTAGTGTGAATGTGAGCAGGCTGAACTTCATTGAAAGTTTTCAAACAGTCTTCAACTCTACTTACATCAATTGGTGACTTTGAATACTTCAACATTCCATTATCCAGGACAAAAAACCTCTGAAATTATAAGAAAAAAAGCCAACAACATTCTTTCTTAATGAGCAGATGCAATGTAGTCTGTCTACAACAATTCACCTGGAAAAGGATTACCCTGCAGCAATTAAGTATATTTAGGRGTTGGAAGGAGACGGTAAATACAGTATTAAATAATATTCATGCTTGTTTTTTTCATAACAATTACCTTCAAAGCCAAAAATACCTATATTCTCTTTTTTCAACATTATTTTCTAGATTTATCTTAACAAACTCTGATGAGGAAGAGGGATTTAGGGTTTTTTCAGTTTTCCAGGCAATTTAATAAACTCTGTAAGAAAGACACTGTAAGACAAGAGAATTATATTKGTTTCTTCATTTTCTTCCYGGTTCTCATCCCTGCTCASATTTCAAATTAACAACCTTCCTTCCCTATCCAGAAACTGAGAAGCTTTTCCTAGCACAAATTTTACATGTCAAAAGGGGAAGAACATGCAAAACTTTGCGCCTTAGGGCAGACCTCTACCCAGTGAAATAAAGAGATTTTGATTCATGCTGATGATACCTTTCCTGGTGTTAGTCTAGGCAGTACAGGGGTCAGTACCGGAGCAAATATTACAAATATTACAAATATGACAAATATTACCAGCAACATCCGCTGGTCACTGGAGGGCTGATGGTTTAGGTGTCAGTGACAGAGGGAGAGCCACTGTGCCTTCACTGATATGGCCTAACCTGACCATGCCTGTGCTGTTGATGACCTTTATTTTGCTGAGCAGTCCTGACTTAGAGCAGGGAGCAGAATCCCCTACTCACACTGTATTTCTCCCTCAGTTAAAGCTGCCCTAGCTTCTCTGCTGCAGATGACTCAAGCTGCTTTGCAGCCAAATTAATGCAGACTTTGGCATCCACCATAAAGGTAAAGCCTAGCAGGAAACTGGACTTGAAATGAGATTTGCTGACTTGTGTTTATCCTCACTAACTTTCAATACATGCAAAGTAATAGCAATTCCTATTTTTAGAGTGTAACCTAAAGCACTAATCAATATTAATAACCCAGAACATAGCAAAATACTCTGCCTTATCCTCAAAGCTGCCTTGACATGGAARGGAAGGACAATGGTTTCCTTATGTAAATCTGTTGTATTAACACTACGAGCAGGGTCAGTAGTTAGACAGCAGAAAATCCCCCCTGAAGACGTTTCTGGAAATTTTGTCAGTCACACAACAGATGGTACCAATATCTCACACAGGGCAGGGAAACAGTGCTCTTCTCCACCYCAGCTGAAACCAGCACACCTGGAGATATAACTTCTTAAATAAGATGTCAAAACAACAGGAACATTTTTGGGTTTTTTTTTACCTAGGTACAGTCACTAATGGACTTCACAAGAACATGATATTCATGTCATATTGCTCTGTCTCTCTAAGCTGAATACACAAAGGAAAATTCTCTTTCATTATCATTTCATTCCGAAGCACACTGCACTTCAGGGAATGATAAGTTCACCAAGTTGTACACATCATACCTGGTGTGCTACTAAGGCACAGTCAGGACTGTCAGAACATTACATGCAATGTTCAATACACAAAAGATGCTATATATGGCTTTGCCAGCAGAACACTAGCACAGCACATGCTGTAATTACTGTCTCTGAAGTTCCTCACTAGACTCTCACCACAAAGTATTGTTACAGAAACTCCAGGATATCCAGGCCAACAGCGAAATAAATAAACTTATTAACAAACRCTAAGTTTCAAAACCTAAGCATAGTTCCCAAGGTGAAATGTAAGGCAGAGTAGAGGGGGATGCTAAATTGTGAAGTTCTTAATCACATTAAAAATTATCCACACAAGTCACTGCTCTAAATTCATCCAGATCATCAGCAGTGATCACCTTTACAGAGCTGTGAAAGTTGAACTCTTCTTGTTCTCCTATAAATTAGCTCCTTACCAAAACAGACACCTGGCCAAATAGCAACACATTAATATAAAGTATTTTAAAGGTGTGGGAGCAGTGGTTTATTCCATAAATTCTTATATATGTCATTAATTGATTCGGGGTTGTGTTTTGGGGAGTTTGGGGCTTTTTAAAATAGAGATRTCTTACGGTAAAAATGCATAGTCCCACTGCATGCCCACACTGAAGATTCCAATCAAGAAGACAAACAAAATGCAGGGACAAAGCTGAACAAAKCTGCTCAGTCAGCAGACCTGAAGGGGAATGTTTTCCTGTACAAACACCTTGGATACATGGAAAAGTCCCTCAGCTCTCCTCTGCACTTCAGTGTAAACTCAACGCAATCTGAGAGTACACAGCTACACTGTGTTACAATACATTGGAAAGAACAAAGGGATACAGATTAAACCCCTTAAAACACAGGCATCTGCAGCGTTATTTACACATTCCATCCAGAYTTTGAGTACAACCTTAGGCAGTGGGACTGTGATTTGAGAGCCATGAACTGTGTCTGCAAGCTAATTCTATATACAGATGGAAGAAAAAGTCATACAACAAAGTCATGGGAATTTATTTGACATCATAATTTCTTCTAGACAAAACAAATCTCAACTCATAAAATAAGATAATAATGTTCTGACTGGTTTATGAGATATTTACCTTGTGCCAACCTTTTAATGGCCATTTTCTCTTTTTCAGCATGAAACCTTCATGTTTGTCTGGCTTCTGGACATTGGTCTGGCCTATTTTCAGACCCTCTATGATTTCCCAGCTGTCAGGTTCCTGGTGTAAAAGCATGAAGACACATGGATTAATTAACTGTGTGCACACATGGTGAAAAATTGCACTTACAAGTAGCATAAGTTCATCAATGCAAGACAAAGAGTAGGAGCCAGGCTTTTAAATCAACCTGTTTAAGTACCAAACTACATGATCACTATCTTATGTATAGCKGTATCTCATTTAAAACTACTAAATACAAACATTTTTGGAAGTCTAACTATTACCAGGTAAGGTAGGTAGTAACAGTGCCATCTGTGGTGCTTCTTAATCATAAAAAAAATCAAATTTTCTGATATTTAAAGTAGAAGCTGCATTGGTTCTGGATGCCCCAGTTTTTCCTCCACATCATAAAAACTGGCAGAAGGGGATGCTTTGTTGCTGATTTTGAGTKCAGCTAGTGATAATCTTCAAAGGCATTTTATGACAGTTTTATCAGCTAACTGAGCCTTCAGAAATCTGAAAAAGGATTTTTTTTWATTTTCCTGCATTCATTTTTCAACTGCATTATGAGAAATTTATGGGAAAGCTAACTAATTTTCTCTCTAGAGAAAAACACAGGAAGAGTATAATTTGAGATCCAACCAGTTGTATGCCTTTCATGGAGCTAATTAAAGTGTATTTCTGGTGCATACCACTWCTAATGCATGGTGACTGATGCAGCTCAAGCCAGACTTACAATGCAACACAGTAAACAGGTAAAGAACAATATTTTTAAAGAMAAAAAAATGGAGTCATGCCTGTATTTCTATCCTCTTGTTACTACTGTAATAAACAGAATTCTGCAYCAGTTTAAAAATCTCTTATTGCAACCTTCTCAGACTGTGTTTTACCAATTACACCTCACAAAGCCGTAAACTTGCATTTTCTCAGATTGTCTGTCCTAACTCCCAGCAATGTTATGAAAAGTTATCAAGAGAGGAAGGAGGTTATAATGCATCAAACATTTAAAGGGAAAAAAAAAGTCTCTGCATTTCCCACAAACTTGTTCAAAGCCAAGCACTGTCCAAACTTGTTCAAAGCCAAGCACTGTCAGTCTTCCATAACACCTCCAAAAATTATGCAGCCCTGGTAACATCAACATTCCCATTATGAAAATATAGTTACAAAAGTAACAGCAATTTCTGAAACTACAATTTTCTGTAAGGTCTTGGTATTTTGGGGTAAAAAGCTCTATCCCAAATGACACATACTGCAGTAAATTTATTCAGCTTAGTTTTCCCTCAATAACCATAAACAGTAACTATCCCATTGTCTGTAAATACCTTACTTGAAATGCAACTTTTTTTACTTCCCCATGTTTTGCTTCAATATTCTGTTTCCATTCTATAGAGGGAAGCACATATGTATGATTTTTTCCCTACAAGGAARTACTTTACACTTGAGTGGGACAAATTAAACTCTAAGTCCCCTGGGGCGAGCAGAGAGTCTCTGCATCTCTGCCAACTGATTYTTCACCGTATTGATTTCTCCTTTAGATGATCAGCTGCAGGCATAAGTTTTTTATCTACTAGATAACATCAGTATTGATTACTTCTCAACTAGGAATCACACAATCTCATATAGGTATCCATTTAAACAAAAGGCCAGATASAGAGGGGCAAAATGAGCAATTATTCAGTGCAGTGTGGATACCTATCCTCTGCAGCACCAGTGCTACGAGCTGTTCTTAAAACCCTCCTAACAATCCAACTGGGCCCCATTCCACAACTCAGGTGTGTTGAGATGTGCCCAATACAAGGGCCATTATGAAAGAGAGCCAAAAATGGGGGAAAAACAGGGAATGAAAGCGATATGCTTGAAGAGTCCTCATCCAAGGGCAGTTGTCAAGTACAGAGCCAGTACTTTAGGACTTCAGCAATTCCATATGGATTACATAAGAAATAGCCCTGTGCAAAGCAGGACTGGGGAACAGTCACAGCGTTCAGTCCCTGCATCTGCACATGTTCCACGTATGGGGATTGAGGGAGCCACTATCAACAGCTTTCTCAAGTCTTTTCACTGCAAAGTATTTATTTTCTAAATAAAAAAGAATAAACCATTTCATTTCCCATGGATGAACAGAATACTTTGTTTTGAAATTGCTTTACCAGGTCTGTTTCAGAACTTACAGACATTTAACTTCAGATTTTTCTTTTCCACCAAATATTCCATCACAGCATCCTCATCTTTTCGATAACAATCTCACTTTTGCATATTAAGTATCTTAAAATGAAGCTTCTTTATGTGGAATTAGACTTGTTTGGAATCACTTATTCCAAAACTGAGGAATTTACCCAGAAAGAAGTTGATTTCAAACCACGACACAAAAGGCTCCACCTTTCATGAACTGGTGGTGTCACCTCCGCAGTTCCATCCTTATCTCTGCCTCAGGAAAGAAAGTCTCAGCAAGAGATTTGAAATTTCAAACTACAAGGGATGTTATTAGGACATTATTTTTTAAACTAATACATTAGGACTTGGGTATGATTTGCTCCATCTTAATAAGAGGATTGGACTGGAAATTTCTCAAAGTCATAGAATCCCACAGTATCCTGAGTTGGAAGTGATGCACAAGGATCATCCAAGTCCCCTCTAATTCCATACTCTRAGAYAGCAAAATTTCTTGCTGGGCMATCCATGTGGRAAAAAWAAAAAAMCAACCAACAAACCTTAATTTTGTTAATATAACATCAAGACCTCAGCTACAGAATAAGAAGCTCCAGGGCAGACTCACAATATGTTCAAAGAATCAAACAAAACTGTCCCAAAAGTGCCGCTCAAACTACTCTGTAACTYTAGAGGGAAACTCACCATGCAGATTCCATCCCAGGTTTTGCTTACCTTGGATAGAGAGAGATGATCRCTTTCAAGGAACTGCTTGCTTAAAGAAGGGTCTGTGCTTCCTGAAGAYGCCTTTCGCTCCAAAATATGAACGCTCTAAAAAATAATTAAAGACAACATCATGGCTCAAAATAGACAAAATACTATCCATCCATGACTTACATGCACAAATAGTTTGCCTTCAGAGGCAGTACACTTCTTTTTCTTTATTATTGGGTTTTAAATTAATTATTTTGTCTAACCCAGAAATGATGGTGAATTTAAAAAAGCCTGGAGAGAGAAGTAATGCAGTTTTACCTACACAGGTTCAAAGCGCTTCTAACCAGACCTATCATGTTTTCTGTTAATATACAAGACACCGARTGCACATTGTGCAGTCAGCACTGCCCTACATTCACTTCTTCACCTAATATATTACTGCCTCTAAAATATTCATTATCACACCTTAACATTTTGGTACTGGCTTCTCAACTGAGATAAAGTAACTCACTACATTAATGCTTTTAAACAGATTACAGGTATTCACAAGATCAGCCTTGCTGGTGCACATTCCTGGAACACCATGATCTTGAACCACTGCAGCTGGCTTTACATGTGACAATACTWCAAAATTTTATATCTTCAAAGCATTGTAATAAATATTAAATACATCATTTCACTACCAGCCCTGAAAAAACTGCTATTCTTAAAAGACACCTAAAAATGTCTTTCCATTTTCCAGAAATGTTTCACTTCTATTTTACAAAACAAAATGGCCAACCAGCAAAAAACTTTGTCATTTATGCTTTAAAAACTTCTGCTTTATCAAAGGAAGTCCAATCTTCTTAGCCCAGTGTATTTTACTAGTCAGACGATAAAAAAATCGTATGTATGTAGCACAAGTGTCCGTGTTACATATCAAATAATTTAATAAACTAATTTGAGCTGAGAACCAGAAATTTCCTAATTTGAGCTGAGAACCACAGAGTTCCTGATGGTAATCATAAACTTTCTCACAAAATAAAGGAAATGCTACTCAGGTACACAGAATCACTTTCTATCAACACAGAAAAGAACCTTAACCTGTTCCTCCAAGAAGATTAAAATGTCTCTTGATTAGCGTAATCAGGATGATTCCCAGCCTTCTTGCCAGTTTTGTCTGGCAGGCAGGAATCCATCCATCCTGAGAGGGAGCAATGCCCAACATCTGTGGAGCAGCTGGGGCAGTTTGCTGTTACATCCCTGCAATTTCATTTTGTGCAATATTTAGAGAGGAGTAGCCCAACAGCCCTCAGCTTGCCAGATTTCCAGTGATATTTTCAATTACATGATTTTAAGTCAGGAAGGTTTTGTGRCTTGGTTTSKTTTTTTTTTTAATTAGCCTTCAGTCATTACAGTTCCACTTCAGTTGAGAAATACATTATTAGCTAGCAGCATTTTAATGAACACTGACTTATGCAACTATTTGTTTGAAAATTGGAAAATGAGCACCTTTTAAATAAAATTGCCTTCTTTACATTTCTTACTTCCAGAAGTGTTGGCCTGTTGTCTATACATGTCTGCTTTTCAGTTYTGTTTTCTCATGACCACCATTACACGAAGATAATTTCTTTAGATTTGTGACATGTCTAGCATAATATTAAGAGACATTATTTGCTGCAAAATGTTTTCCATTAGCACATGTCATTTTTCTGCAAAATTACAGCTAGAAATAATACAATTGCTTGACATTTTAAAAAGCAGCTAATTTTATAGTGCAAGAGTTATTTAGAAGGAAAGAAATAAAAATCATTTAGACTTTGAAGTTATTTTCAAGGGGGTTTTTTGTATTTTAACATGAAATACAGAGTTGGTAAAGGAAGCAGTAAAATAAAAAGCAGGTAAGAAGGAAGAAGAAGGCAGATCAATACAGCTTCTGGCATTTATTTATAATTAAACCAAAAAAATAATAATAATCCATTAAACTAGGCATATCAATCAACTTGGTGCTCTTATTCCTCTCATCCCAAAAATACAGACAGGCAAAGTCAACAACTGCATTTCTGCATTCCAGACTCCCCTAATGTTTCAGGATTACCTAAGCACTGTAGTTGGTTTCTCCTGGAGAAAAATGCCAGCACTGGCACATTCTGTGTGCTCTTGAAAACTCATTCAACAGAATTACAAGTTTAACTCAAATTACTATTTAACTTATTTATGTTCTTATTTGAATTCTATTTAGTATGAAGTGCAAGTTGAATCACTTTCTCTCAACTAAAACCATACTATTTTCTAGTTACCTGAAACATGACAGCAATGGTAAGGCAGACATAGATTCGACTACATACATGCCAATTTTTACTATCTTCTAAACAAGTCATGGTATATGACAAGTAAATATGAAATATTATTTGCAAAGGGAATAKCCTTGAAACTTGCTTTTATCTTGGGCTGCTTCTCAGCCAGCTCTGGCTTTCCTCCTGTTAATGCTGGAAGAAAGRCAGATTCTTGAATATAATTGTGAGAGAAGAGTGAGTGCAAAGCAAAGCAATCATAGGTCACCAATGTATCCCTCCTTTCTATATTCTAGCGTATTTTTTAGATTTTTATAAAGCAGTCGTGTTCCTATCCTTATCCTCAGTCTCTCCTTTTGACCCTGCTCCATAGATATTTTCATTAATCTCAGCTATGAACTAACCAACAAAGGAATTTAACACTTTGTGAATAAAATACAGAGTTAATACTTTTCTTTTTTTTTTTTTGTAATATGTGTTCATCTTGTACAGCAATGTACTCAAGCGCAACACTTTCTCTCTGTAATCTTCTTACTGAAAGACAAGTATATAAGATGCAGTTCTGTAGCATATGAATCATATCCAGGTATGTGTACCTACTTCTTTCCTGGGATATGCAAAGTAAACACTTCTTGTGTAACAGAAATGTCAAGGATTTGTTAGTCCAGGAGCTCTCTGTCAGCCCTTTCTAGAGTTCCAGCTTTGTATTGTACTTCATGTCAATGTTTTAGGTTCTGGAAACAAAGAAGCCTTTGCTTTACAAGGTACTTTTTGACAAATTCTGAAGACAAATAAGCTCCTGCTCTGATGAAGAGSTTCTTGGAGGGAATCATTAGCACAACTGGATAAAGCAGAAAGGAGCTATTTATCATTTTAACAGCAACCTTCCTTTCACCAGAACGATGGTTTGKAACAACTACCAAGTCACAGCTCCAGTGTTAATGGCAATCTCCCTTTGTACTTATCTCAAGAGACAGCAAACAGATAAATTTRCAACATTTGACAGAGAGAATTCAAATTTAGCTAATGATAAAAAGCTTCTTTCTGACAATTGAATAATCACAATTAAAAGGCTTGATATTTTGTTACATAGCCTCAGGCTAGCAATTCAGTTTATTGATGCTGATATGGTTTAAAAAAATGAGGGAAAATAAAATTACATACACAAATCATTCCTTGACATGTATTTTTTTATGAATGGAAACATTGTAGAGATGAAAGGGAGTCMACACAAATAATAAAAAGCTGGACCTCACGTAAAAAAGTGTATAGATTCAGAAAAAGAAAGATCTTTCTTCCTGTGACTGTCTCACTTCTCTCTATAAGCTACCTACTTAGTCTTTCTCAATATCCTTTAGATTTTAATATACACAGTACAAAAATATAGGAGAAAGGAAAAAGAGGGGTTAAATAATCTTCAATCAGGTTTTTCTTTTTTTTTTTTAATGAAATAATGTTCTACTAGGGGATAATAAAAACAGGAGAAGAGAGGTGTCAGAACACCAAATAGCATTACTAAGCCACACAGTTATTCTGTCTAATACATTTGTATATTTTGAATGTGGATAATCCCAATCATGTGTGAGTGTCTGGAAAACAGAAGCGTCCATATTGTACCTGCCATTACCCTCCCTCTTCACTTTTGGGTCTTTCCTCTCCACTGAGAAAATGAAAATACAATCATGCTTCTCTTTCTTCTTCCTCATTTGTTTCCTAGAAATCCTCACTGGCAATGCAGAGAGCTGCACTTCTTCCTTCTAAATCCCCGTGTGTGTTGCATTTCAAGTTTGTGTTCTCAAGGAAAGTGAGACACGGTTATGTAGGTATGGATATGCATGCATGAGGGGAAAAAATGAGACAAAAGAAAGGCAAAAGTGACYGTGCTCTGAAAACGCCACTTTAAATTATCTGTCATAATTTGCATGGGTAATTAAGCYTTTATGAGAGCAATTTCCCTGGTTTTGTAATAGAACATAGCTGCAGGCACCATTTCTAATCTAAATGACATTTAAAAAAAATTCTTTCTTCATAGCTCATATCTGAACTTCAGCATTCTGCATACAACCTGTGAAGCACTCCTAGAGGTAGGATAACTCAGATAGCAACGTTTATGAAGCTCAGAGAACACGTACACACAGTCCCTGGGACTGGTATGAATGCTATCACTGCCTCTCCTTGACTGCTCCAGTCCATTTTTTTTCTTCAAAGCTTTAAGGCCAAGTCTTTCTTTGGAASAGACAGCTGAAGAGTAACAGCAAAAGTTATGCTGCTTCAGACATTTTGTCACACACTGAAGTAAGATCCACTACCTTCCAAACCTAACATTTTTGCACTCTATCAGAGGCACAAGAAAGAACCATGTTGTAGAGCAGCAGCAACTAATCAATGCAAAGAACAATTGCATGCTTTTGTCAACAATTTTACCATTTCATTCTTTGGCTCCCTCAGAACRTTTGCTTGCTCCAGTGAGTTGTTGCTTTAAAGTACTCAACGCTTCCTGCTCTAATCCTGCTTCAATAGTGCTATGTGAAGAAAGTTAATTAGGAAAGTGAGCAAAAGAGAATTACATCACTGTAACAACAGCACTTAGCATTTAGTGGCCTCTTTAGTTTGAGACTCTCAGAGAGATTAATAATTATTATTAAAATAATCCTCAAAACTACTGCAAAGTAAAAAGGCTTCTAAAAGTCTACACTTTGCTAAAGAGCAGAGCTATGAGTAAGACTGCATGTTCTCAGGTCTGCACCATATCTACTAGACAGCTGTCCATCCTTGCCTTTCTTCCTTTCTTTTGAAGTCACAGAGAGACTGACACAGAGAAGTCACACAGAGGAACAAGTGAAATTCACAGGTAACCACCAAGAAYATTTTTCCCAGATGTCACATCAGGCTGACAGCAGCGAGCAAGCATGTAGGCTGCCACCCAGTTTCAGAATAAAGAAGGTTTACAAATGCCTTCAGACGTCTCTTCCACATGGAATACATTAGGGTACATCACATCACACCCTTGTATGAGCAGCACCATCTCAGCATCTACAGAATGGTGATCCCTACCTTGGGAAACACCGCTTTCTGCAGACTACTGTGACAATTCAAATACAGTGATTGTGAAAAGCTAATTGGACATTTTCCAGTACAGATCTTTAGGCAAGACCACAGCCTTGGAATTGCATTCTGCTTCTAAATGTCAGGGCCAGGTAAACATCTTCAGTCCAAACTCAGTCCTTTGTGAATCCCTCATGTACATCCCTTCGTTAAGTCAATAATTCTTGTACAGAAGGGAAAAAAAAAACCCAGCCCAAAACAAACAACAAGCCAAACTAAAACCTGAAAAGCAGACTGCTGCTTTGGAAAGCCCCTTTTTCCCTTCCTTAGAAGCCCCTACCTTTGACTCTTTACATATGGCTAAAAGACAATAGTCCTGTGAAATATGAAAGCTCTTCTAGCAGAAAGGTGATCACACAAGGCTAAAAGCAACAGGACTAAAAGCTTTTCTTCTTTTGAGATTGCTGTGTGGGAAAAGAACCAAGGATTTKTTGAAAAAGCATCCTGATAAAGAAAAACAAAAAGAACAAGAGAACAGTGGATCATCTCTTCCCCACAGAAGACCAAAAAGAAAGGTAAAACATTAGAAGAGAAATCCTCATACTTAAAATAGAAGATATTGCTACATCCATTTTCACATCAKGTATTAGSTAGCCTTTAGGTGTAGAAGATATTGCTACATCCATTTTCACATMATGTATTAGCTAGCCTTTAGGTGTTGTCAGAAAAGTCAAAATCTCTCCTTTGTTCACAGTTTCAATACTATTACTTACCTTCTGTATCACTCCCTCTGTTTAGTAGCCTAAGGTCAGGCTCCAATTTGCCACACTGCACATTATTAACCCTACAATGTATTTTCTTCTTTCTTCTCAGCACAATATTACTACCCACACATTGTAAAGAACATATAATGTAGTACAGTCTGCCTTATGAGTTGCATACTTAGTCAATAAATAAAATGCAGAATATTCGTAAAGAACTTACATCCATAAAACTGAATATACAACATATGATATGATATGCTTGTACCATATTCAGCCACACTTCTAGGAGTTGCTGGTTTTCCTCCATTTTGCTGTGCAGGAGTATGTACCTAGCCTTTTCAGAGTTTCATAAGGGATGAATCACCCTTGCCAGCATGGCCCACAAAAAAGGCTATAAGAATTTCACTTTCTATGTTACCTTTTTTATGAAGACTCCTATTAACAGGTTTCAAATTCTGCAACAGTTCACAGTAGGAAAAACTGCTGCTGCTCTCCTCTGGTATTCCTTATTGAGRGTACCACAACTGCCTTGCCACCCCGTTCAGCTCAGGGGTTAAACAAAATACATTGTTTCTGGGCCTTCTTCTGCCTAACAGTCCAAATTAAACACATTTTAATGAAAATGAACAACAAAAATCTGAAATCAGTTTTTAAGTTATTGCTGGCTTCATTAGTCTATTCATTTATCTATTACTTAGTCATGGAGCCTGCAAATTGGCAATATCAAAGCTTTTGCTGACTGCTAATTCTCTTACGTGATGTATATCGTGCAAATAAAAAAGCRACATTAAAATGCCAGCTTTATATACAGCACGACATTTTCCACTCTCCCTGAAATGATTTATCATGGTCATGTTCACACTCATTCAGCCTCCTGCACTATAATTTATTGGGAAACTGTTCCGTAATTGCTGGTATGACTTTGACAAGAATTATATTATGAGAAGGTTTCAATCATTAACCAACTCGAAATAACCAGTGTTATCCTCACATATGACAATAAAAGTTATATTGGCACTTCATCCAGTCACATCACTTTCCATATTCATTTATATTACCAGTTCAGGAAGGGTGGTTTTCTCCYAGCTCCTCTGAAGAGTCCAAGGAGKCAGCAAGACAGAATTTTAAAGCCTTTCCAAAGTAAAATCCAACCGCTCCCGAACCAAAATCCCCTACCCCTCTAGCTATCATTGTGTTTGGGCAAAAACCTATGACCAGCAAGGAAAGAAATTAAAAATACAGCTGTTACAGCRGATGGAAGGATGAAATGGCTGTGCACAGAGGAACTGTGCATGTGTCCTGCCCTGGGTACAGCACTAATGCACTTCATGCTGCATTGCATGCTGCAGCTCAGTTTCTTTCTGCAGAAGACATTGCTCACCCATTCAATCTCTTGCCCTTAACACTGAAAGCACTAAGGCAAAAAAAAAAAATTTTAAAAACCTTAGGAGTAGCCCTTCCAGTCCACATTTACATGCCTAAGTATATCATTAAGCATCATCACACTTTATGGGATCCTCTGGATGCATCACACCATCAACCTTTATAGCATTATTTTAAAATCATGCTTCACAATTCCGTGACCAAATACGGATTTAAAGTTAAGCACCCATTTTATTACGATGACAGGTATASCTTGCTCTGTACCGTTGCTATGGTAACAGATATGGTAGCCATTAGATTTATGGTAAAATGTATTCCCAAGAGGTAATTTAATTTTTTTTTATTCCTAGTTGCATGGTTGTGTCAAACTACCTAATTACAAAGAAAACTGAGAGAATATGCTCTTAGCTGAGACCAGCAGCCTGAGAGTCTTGCATTTACCTTCTTTGGGTTTAAATGTGGGAGACAAAATATACTGTGATGCTTTAAACAAATTACATCAAAATTCTTGCTCCAGATGAAGCTAATGAAAAATTATGAGGTTATATCCTAACCAAGACTTAATTCATTGAATACAGCTATCCAGAATCCTGTAAACTATGAAATGGGAAAGTATTTATCACTTGTAAAAAAATACTTTTTGGATTTATTCAAGCAATGGGTATTAGCAAAAAAATTCCACACACATTTCCTGCCTGTTGTTGAGCATGCATTAGAATTCTTCTCCTGATTTAACATTTTTAACATATCCTGTGGTGAGACTATTTACATTCAAACCTGTAAATTTTACAATTTCATTAAAAATTCTCGGGTTTCAAAATTTTTATGATAGGTAAAGGAAAAAACTTCCTCTGCAGCACCTGAGAAAATAGCATCAGTTACCCTACACAGCTGAGAAAATATTCCTGAACCATTCAAGTAAATGCATACCACAGCAATTTATTTTTATTATTTGCCTTTTTTAATGGATCAAAGTTTCAAATATGTTACTGTTCTAACCACTTTTTCAGTATCAACCTTTTAATTTGTGAAACACACATGTAAGAACTTATTTGAAATCTAGCGGACAGCTCTGATATTTTCTCAAGTGCTCCCACTGATATTGTGGCCAGACTGTACACCCAGCCCTCAAAAAACACCCACAGGAGTGCTCAAGTTGTTTTGAGGGGATATCATACAGTCTTCATCTCCAAGAGATCCTGGAGAAAAGGTGTAGTGCTTTACATCTACATAAACAAGAGTCTCTTAACAGTGTAAGTCTACCATAACTCAACCAGTACTCTATGGCAGAACAATCAGTGTTACTTACTCAAGGCAGAACAATCAGTGTTAATTTGTAGTAAAATAAATAATATTTAGAGTGTTAGGTGTTTGCAAAAAGGATGAACAACATCATATTTAAACTGAATTACCACCTTCTAAAACAATAATGCAGSTCTGTTGTTAAATTTACAAAAAGAGATATTCACAAACGACACAAAATGATTTTAAGAAACTGTGGGTTTGTGCTGCCAAAGAAACTACTTCCCAAAAGACTCCAGAACATGTTTCCTACTTGTCTATAAGATTATGTATTTCTTGTTCCAGTGCCTGTATTGCTTCTAAATCTCTTTCAAGCCACTTTAAAAAATGGAAAAAGTAAATTCAAAAACTCAACAGTTTTTGGCTACAGTGATATCATCCAACACTATAAGCAATCAAATCTAGAGCGAGCAGGAACTGACAGTCACATTACAGTAATAAAAGYATCATCCCACCAGATGGAATGAACATCGAGAGCATTTCCTTACCTGCCTCCTGTCTCTCTGAGACGATGATGAGGAGGAGGCACTTCTATGTGATGGAGTGGATGTTTTGTGAGCTGGAGATATGCTCTTCTCCTCTGAACTCATCTTTGCAGCAAAGCTGGATTAATGATCTTGTGCTCTTATCACTCATGTACAAAAAGGAAAGGGATGGTCTTCCACATCCTTCTGTTTCACAGTTTATGGACAGCCAAAGAGGAAGTCAATCTCAGCTGAACTGCACCCTAATAAAGAAAAATGTAAGAGAAACAGTGAATGAACTGTCTCAATTTGAGACAATGTTTTCAGAGAAAAAYGTTACAAAGTAAATGTTTCCTCTGAAGTGAAAACTTTGATAATTTTGCCCCACTAATATGAAATAGATGTTCGGGCAAAAGTGAAGAGAAAAAAAAAGTAGTTTATTAACAAAACACAGTGCCCACAGGACACAGATAAAAAGTAACTGTTAGATATTTAACACTCATGAACACACGCTACATCCTCCCCCACAGCCGCTCCCACATGGTGCGCAGAATGATGGTGACCCTGTCCATGGGAAAAAGTCCATGTGGCCGCTCCCGCAACAGTGGCAAAGCCTGGATTATAGTCCTTTTCCGCACTGTGGGTGAAACACAGGGCTCGGTGTGTTTTCCTGTCACTGGCTTGGCTTCTTCTGAAGTCCGGGAGAAGACAGAGGKTTGCGGCTTCTCCCCGCCAGCTGATGAATTGCTCCAGAAGAAAAATCATAGCAGTTGCAGAGGGGGGGTGGGTAGCAGTCCAGGAAAAGCTGTTTGCCCAAGATAACACACCTGAGCTGGCTAAACGGCAACAGTGGAACTCTGCAGCAGACAGGGAGCAGGGCCTCTCACGGCGCTGAGCCGAGCTCCAAAAGCCAATGAGCTGAGCTCCAAAAGCAAATGGCTGCACCAGAGCTCACCCATCCCAGTGCAGGGGGCATTCCCTTTGCTGTTCACTCACCCACTGCTAGGTACATCACTCCTTTACCACTCTAGAAGTTTTCTCTCACTTACTTCTCTCCACCCAAACMTTTAATTTCCATCCACAGAAACAGAACTGAAAAACTGATACTTAGAGGAGCACAGAGGGTATTTGTGTCAATAAATAGTCAAACACTACCTGTCAAGCCCTATAAAAACGCTGCAAGTACTTCATGACAGCTCAGGAACGGAGTTACACTTCTCCATGTTTAACAGATTGCTKTGCTCTTGCTTCAGCTGACTGATACAGTGTCTGATCTTCCATTAACCTTGGATAAAACTGTTCCCTGAATGAGATGTTAGCTTCAGGCAGATGACATATCTTCTCCACTGCCCTCTCTAATTTTGAAATAGTGCCCTTCCACATTCACTGTGATGACAGCATAGCAAGGGTCAGCACAGCAGAGCTAACTGCAGATGGTTGTGGAGAAAGGTGCTGTACTGCACTATGTTAAATCAGATCAGGACACAAATGCATTAACACTTAGACAGGACTGCACACTCAGGAAATTATGCCACATTGAAGATAAAGCTCTAGCTTCCCCAATTTCAACAGATGCCCATGCAAGAATGTCATCCTGAGCCCAGATATTCACACAGAGGCAGTGAAATAATAATTTACATTGTACCACCAGCTTCCGAAAACTACACCCTCAGAAACACACTCCTGCTGGAGCCAACATCTGTGCTGACTYGTGACAGGCAGCTTTCCTGCTTGCTGTGCTAAGGGAAAGTGGAATGGCTTCACTTTATTAGTTATCAGTACTTTTGTAAGTATGAATACCATCCATATCTTATGAATGAGTTTCAATCTCCATSAAGGAGTCTCCCCAAGAATTACAAATCTCACACAATATCCAGAGTCCACACAGCATCCCAGTGGCATGAGTGGGAGGACATGGCTGTTCCAACAGCAAGAGCTGCCCACATTCCCTGAACATCTTGGCAAATTCTGTATTCTTCTCATGATGACAGGTTCCTCCCAGAAGAGGCCTAAGAAGATGGGTTCTGCTGGAGCTACTGCAATACAAAAGGTTGCAGGAAGAAAGAAACAAGCTGCAAAGCACGTTTGTTTCAGAACTTCAGAGAGAAAACAAAATGAAGATGAACCCAAAGAAAGGCTTTTCCTTCTATTCTAGCATACCAGGGACTGCTGGTCTATTTTAAAAGTGTTTTCATACRTTTCCTACAAATGCATCAGGGAAATTCGAGTCACAGGGGTGTACCAACAGGGATATCTCAACATCCATGCAATTTTCATTTAAATAAAAAATGGAGTAACAAAAATCAGAACAAAAATATTATAATCCTAGCTTACAAAGACCACTTGAGTTATTTAATGGCAAATCTGCAGTTACTTTCAGCTGTGAGGTCACTGAATTTTTTTTAGCAGAGTAGCCTTCAGCCAAATGTCTATGTCTAAATAAAAAGAAGGAAAATAACACACTTTATTTTTCATATCAGAAACCACTAATTTTTACATTAGAGATATTTTGCTTACCAAGACATCCTGGTATCATATGAAACAAAATTATTTCAAATGCATTAAAATAAATGACCAATCTACTGCCAAGTTTGAAAAGTGTGATTATTTCTGT